TCACGTGATCTCTGAAGGGTGTATCCGGCCGGCGTACGACAACGTGGCTGCGATCACGGCCTACAAGAGGCCGAGCAGCGTGAAGGAGGTGCTGCGATTCGTGGGGATGGCGGGCTACTTCCGTCACCTGATTCCTCACTTCAGTGTGCGTGCGGTGGGTCTGACTGATCTGACTCGCCGGCACTCGTTCGAGTGGACGGAGGCAGCAGAGCGGAGCTTCCAGGATCTCCGGAAGGCGGTGGCTGCCTTCCCTGTGGTCCGGCCGCCGGACCCGGAGCAGCCGTTTCGGATCACGACCGATGCGTGCTCGCGCGGCTGGGGCGCGACTCTGAGCCAGTGTGATGGTGATGGCGAGTATGCAGTCGCCTTCGCTTCGGGAAAATGGACGGACTGTCAGTCGCGCTACACGACGACTGAGCACGAGCTGCTCGCTGTGATTCGGGCCGTGACCAGGTTCCGATGGTACGTCCTCGGGACTGAGTTCGTCGTCGTGACGGACCACCAGGCGCTCAAGTGGCTCTGGAGCCTAAAGGATCCGTCTGGTCGGCTGGCTCGCTGGGTCATGGAGTTGTCCCAGTATGACTTTACGGTGGTTCACCGACCGGGGACTGCGATTCCCCACGCGGACGCACTGTCCAGGGACTGTGGTGATGCTGATGCTGGCTGTGTACCAAAACAAGGACTGTCTGGTGATGCTGGCTGTGTGCCAAAACAGGGACTGTCTGGTGACCGTGCTGGCTGTGTGCCAAAACAAGGACTGTCCAGTGTCAGTGTTGGCTGCGTGCCAAATGGTGACTCGTGTGAGCTGGCCGAAGGTGACGTGCCGGCGACGGTCCGAGCTGTGGAGCTGAAAAGCTCGGCGGCTGACGAAGCTGCTGTCGGGGCGGAGGCGACGTCTAGCCGGCTCAGCCTGCCAGAGCTGCAGCAGGCGACGCTGGAGGACCCGGTGCTGTCAGTTGTCATGGACTGCCTACGGACTGGGAGCACGAACGATGCGAGACTTGGTGACGTCGGTGCGTTCTATATGCGTGATAGAGACAGCCTGTTTGTTCGTGATGGCCTCGTGTACCGACAGACCATTTCAGACCGTGAGCCGCAGATAATCGTGCCGTTAAGCATGCAGAGTCACGTGATACGTCTTGCTCACGATGTGCCAATGGCGGCGCATTTCGGGTTGAAGCGTACGATGAGTCAGATCACGCGTCATTACTACTGGCATAACCTGAAAGTGACCGTGCGCGACTACTGCCGTGCATGTCTCGGATGCGCGCGGGTGAAAAGGCCGAACCGTTCTCACCGAGAAGGTGTAGGTAGTGTACCTGTCGTAGGGGAGCCGTTCTCCCAGTGGTCGGCAGATATTCTTGGACCACTGCCTTGTTCAGATGCTGGGAACAGGTACGTTCTAGTCGTGTCGGACTTGTTCACGAAGTGGGTGGAGACCTATTGTATTCCTGACCAGAAGGCCACGACCGTGGCCGACTGTTTCGTGGAGCTCTTTGCTCGTTTTGGAGTGCCGAAAAGCATTCTGACAGATCAGGGCACGAACTTCGAAAGCGCGCTAGTTAAGCGGATTTGTGAGCTATTGGGGATCCAAAAGCTACGATGCACGTCGTACCATCCACAAACGAATGGTCAAACCGAGCGGTTCAACCGCACTCTGTGCGATATGCTCACCCATTATGTGAGTGAGAACCAGGCTGATTGGGACCGGTGGGTCAGTGTGTGTGTGTCAGCCTATCGGTTCTCACAGCACACCACGACAGGATATTCGCCGTTCGAGTTGGTTTATGGTGTTTACCCGCGTGTGCCCGTTGTGAGTGAGATCATTGATGACGCAGATAAGCTGCAGTGTGACACTTACGCGAATTATGTGAGTGACCTGAAGCGCCGTCTCGAGGTGGACCGCGACCAGGCCCATCAGTCACTGCAGGACAGCCAGTCGCGCTCGTCTGTGGCTGGAACGAGTGACATTGAAGTAGGCGATACGGTGATGCTAAAAGTGCAGGCAGTGAAGCGTGGTAAGAGCAGGAAACTGTCCGCTCGTTTTACTGGACCATATGTAGTCGTCAAAGTGCAGCGACCTGATTATAGGATTAAGCGGGGACGAAAGCAGGTGCTTGTGCATGGTAGTAACCTGAAGAAAGTAGAAAGTTCTGTGCGGGACGATTCAGAACGGGCGACATGTGTGACGGTTCCTGTCACTGTCAGTGTGTCTGACGAGGAACCGGACCTCGGTGCCTGTATTCCGCTGTTAGGTCGGACCGCTGTCGGGCCATTGCTGGCGGTCCGCTCCGATGAAGTTTCCGGTCGTGTGGACTCGCCGAGTAGCGCTGAAAGTGAATGTGCTCTGTCGGACTCGGATAGTTCGGATTCGGAGCCGGACGGAACTCCCATCCGTCCGCCAACTGCTGTTAGCCGCTATGGCCGCCCAGTGCGACGCCCGCAACCGTATTCGCCAGGTTAGGCCCTCGGGTGTGCACCTGTGACCTAGGTGTCCGTACTTTTTGAAGGGGAGGATGTTGTGGATCAGCTGCCGCTGTTGACGATCGGCCGTCGCGCGCCGATCCGGTGACCCAGTTTTGTCGATCAGCTGATCGTAATTTGTCGGCCGGCCGCCAGAGGCGCTGTTTGTCCTTCTCGCGACGGACCTGTGTGGCGGCGGGCGGCCGGCTTGTGTGGCCGAGAGTTTTGAGCATTAGTAAGCGGTTACAGTGCTACCTTCGTGTTTAAATTAAGTTCAATAAAGTTCAAGTAATCGTAACATTATTCACTTATTCACTCATTACTCAGCTTATTATCCAACTAGATAAACACCACAGCACTGTTTTATCTCACTGATGTCACAAGAATGGGCAAACTCTCTCTGCGCACTGCAGCCACAACACTCCCCCGCCGGCCCCCGCGGTCCCCGGCGCACAACTGACAGATTGCGAAAATGGCGCCGCCGCCGTCAGCATTTAGCTCAAAATTTCGCTAAATTTACACGGGTTGACGTAAACGAACGGTGCTCTGGATGTGTACCGCAATTACCAGTGTGACACAACACTCATTCGCTTATGGATACACTTGCTTTGCATGAAAACATATCAGTTAGGTATTTGAACATCTGTTATGCTGTTACATTATCCTGTTTTGCGTAAAGATGCTTGTGTGGTGTGATAAAACTGCCGATGTTTGTTAGTTAACCAATAAACGTCGCATAAAAACAAACTTATTCTTGATGCCTTTACTTATTATGGCGTTGTGCGACGGATACCTTGCTTGTTTATTACGTAAATACTTAAACTAAAGATATTTTACTACGTGAAGCAGAACTTTGAAGCTATTTGAACTATTTACGAGTAGGTATATTGAACTTGACATCGCTCAATATTTCTGTGTGTGCATACTGGAGACAAGTGGAAGCTGGCAAAGTTGTTTCGGGACGAAAGCCAAAAAAATTATCTGTTTGAGGGCATTTGGCATCCTCTTCACCTTATTTTGGTATTTAAACATCGAACCAGCTCAGAATATTCAGAATGATCAAAATCAAGGTAGGATCTATTGGAACGGAACCGGCCCTATGAAGGAAAGAGGGATAGACTCTTGGACTCTGAACATTTATTTAAGCCGGAGTTGCACCTATCTCATCGTCAGGTTGGGTCAGGTCACTACCCGATTACCTATAAGATCATGTGTAAGCCTGTGCTTAACCCAAAAATATTGATATATTTGGCAGTGCCAATAAATGTTTCTGAGGAAGGCGCAGAAAGCAACAAAGTAGGATGAAGAGTCTCGGGCACGGCCGATTGCCTGGGGCATCGCTCCAGCGAAACGGCCGTATTCGTGATTCGTGAAGCGGTGCGGGGCGCCGGGTGGGGCAGAAGCGTAATGTGTCGTATGGTAGAAATGGCCTTTATCGCGGTATCATGTGTGTGTTATATTGTTAAGACGTGCACAAAAAGAAATAGCAATGTGGCAGGCGGACATTGGGCACTACACGAGAACGATCATCAATTAACTCGTATCTTTTTTGTAAAACTTAAGTAACAGTAGGTATGTCCTCAATGGTGAGGAAACTATCTCTAGGCTTTTACTTTTCATGTTTGCATTTCAACACACAAGCTCTGGGGGCAAAGTTAGTCTGGCGACCTCCTCAACCTAAGTCGATGATCAAATGGATTAGTCCTGAAGGTGTTCAATGCTTAGTTACACCGGGATGATATAAATCGATCACGCCGGCATACATTCCTAATCAAATTTCATATATCAAACACATAAATTGCATCATGTTAATGGTGATTCTGTTTTGCAATTTTGACGTAGTCTGACGCGATAGGTACATAATCTTACGCAATCATTTGAAATCAACAGCGTCTTTTATGCGCGTTTTTCACAAGCCCCGAATCTTGTGTGGAAATATAATTTTTTGTGACTGAACAAGGTGTACGTACATTTGTGATAGATACGATTAGTCGAGGGCTTCAGCTGGTGCGTTACTTATGCGCGCTATTTAGCTCATTCGATGAAATTACGGCTGCAACGCCAACTGCACGGCAGCTACGGTCCATGCGAGCCGCCCCGGTGCGACAGCTACTGCCCCGCCCGCTCCACGCAGTCGACTGACCGGCCAAGGTCACTACCCCGTCCGCCGGGAGGGCGGAGCTTAATGGTCACGTGTTTGTGACGTCACACCTACGCACGGATAGCCTCTACTCCACTGACGGATTTACGGAGCCGATTTTAACATTACGAGGCAACGACAAGTACCCTAAAATTTGATATTTTGTTAAGAGACCATATTGGCGAAAATTGGCGCTTGAGCTGAATTGTGCATTGTGAAAATTTGAAGCAAATTGAACAAATATTGAACAAATTATCGCCAAAAATTAGGGTCTCATGGGGTCTGAAATGCATAGTAGGTACCTATTTACACCGCGCACTTTTCCGTCGGACATAATAACAATCTCACCGTAAATGTGACAGCGACCTAACTCTGTCTCACGGCTCACTATTCTCAGGTGCGAGGAGCAGGGTCACCAGCTGGCCGTCATCTCCTCCAAGACCGACTTCCTAGCGGTGCTGGAGGCGCTCAGCGGGCTGACCAGCACGTTCAGCGCCTGGATCGGAGGCCGCCAGCTCCCCGGCACCGGCAGTACGTCCTAACATAATGCAGCTGTTTGTGTGGACTTTGGAACGAGTAGGACCGGCTATGAGACCGTCACCTAGAAGAAAATAAGTGACCTCTTGCAGTTAGCAGACCTGTAATTACTAAAAAAAGAAAACATTGGCCTGAATGTAGAGCCGTCTAACTCATTGCCGTATATACGGTTGCAGTGCGTAAATACGTAAGTACCTACTTTCATCGAGCTGGCTAGTGGCTGTGTACCGCAAAGCATGCACGTAATGCGGCACAGTCTACCTGCCAGTGCTCGAAACGTGCCGTGCTCAGTACCCGACTCAGGGCTGACGACTGTTCCCTGTCTCGGCAGAATATGTGTGGGTGGACGGCAGTGAGGTCTCGTTTGACGGCTGGATTGAGGGCGAGCCATCACAGCTCCGACAGGAGACCTGTCTGGAGGCCTCTAAACTCAGCTCCGGACGTTGGAACGACCAAAAATGCAACATGTACAGACCGTACATCTGCATGATCGGTACGTGCGTGCGCTTACTACTGCCAAATCAGACCGAGGCGACAATCTGTCATGCAATATGATGCAACCGATGCAACTGATGCAGTACGCATTGCGTATCTAAAGAAAATGTAGGGCGAAGCGGGACGTTATGTAATTAGCTCGGCTTTTGTTTATCGTAGCGCGACCAAAACAGATGTAAACGTCGACTAACGTGAGACGTGTTACCCAAGACGCACAGCTGATTGAAGCCGTGTAGTTCGGAAGTGTCACGTATGCCGCTTTTCCAGAGACTCCGGGGACGAAGGAGGTCGGCACTTACGCTTCCAGGCTCGGTAAGCTGGGAGACACCTCATTTACTTATTACAATAACCAAAACAAATAGGTGCGTGTTCTGAGGATATGTAACAATACCAGGAAGCCAAGACCCGGAAAGCTGCTCCCAAAAATGCCGCAAAGATATTGAGGCCTGAGGGCAGTGCTAGACGCTCTTGATGCGACATAATCTACACTAAACAAGTCAAATTATTATATTACCTACGATAAATGCCGGTCCCGTAGCTCAGTTGGTAGAGCGTTAGACTCCGCGTGGTGAGAGCACGCGTTCCCGGTTACAACAGTCCGGGTTCGAAGCGCGACGGGCGCTTGACATTTTGGACCTCCTGACAGGTATGGATGCGGTTGGTGGCAGGCCGTAGCCAGGCGAAGTCAGTGAGGGGACCGGCCGTGCGCGGCTATGTGCGCACGTTAAACTTTGGACTCTAAATTCTGCCATAGAACTGGAATTGCGCGATCGGAGGGTAGAGGGCAGGGTCACCGCAACAAGCTTCGCTTAGCGGTGGCTCTGTCCTTGTGAATCCTTCCCATCAAAAGGTTCGGACTAAATTTATTAAAAAAAAAGAAAAAAAAGTATATGTTCCCCACTGCCACCCTCCGCGGCCCGTTTCAGCGGGCGGTGACAGTCCCGGTCCCGGCGGCGGCGGCTGGCGGGTGTTCGGTATCGTCTGCCTGGCGGCGGTGGCCGCTCTGGCGGTGCTCGGGGCCGCCGTCTGGGGGGCGCGGAGCTACCTCAGTCGCCCCCGGCACCGGCGTATGTCGGCGGCCAGCGACCAGCGCCGGTACCACGCCAGAGAGAACCCGGCCTACGCGGACACCGAGCGATCGCTCAACGTCAGGTGAGCCCGCACTGCGAGCGGTGCTGTGGTTGCTCAGGTTGTGGTTACTTAGTCTCAGTCTATTGGTCTGGTATCCACTACAGCAACGGGTGTTTCGTGTTACGGATACCGTTCATTCTTTCGGTTCCTCCAACAGTATCTGTCAATGACGACGTTCTTTACTCCCTCGTGAGCTGACCTGGTTGGTAGTTTCATCCCCCGTTTCTTTTCCTTTTCTAACAGCGTCTCGGACGATGACGTGGACGGCAGCGGTCTGGACGGAGGCCAGAGCTGGCCACTCCGCGGCGGCGAGCTGGAGGAGCACCCGCTCTAGACGGATAAAAACCCGCTCAGACGAGGTGTTCCGAGACGAGCACCTGCTCTACATGGGGTGTTCTGAGAGGAGCACCCGCTCCAGGGGGGCTGTTCCGCAAAGAGTAACCGTTCCAGAGGGAGTGTTTCCAAGGAAGGCGTCCTTGGGTAAATGACTGATAAGATTAGGCGCAGGAGTTATGGACGGCATCAGACATTTGTTGTCTGCCTTCCGAGAATTAATTATCTAAGCACGCATGGGGCAGACCAAGCTCCAGTGTCACCAGCAATGCTGGACGATTTACATAAGGTAGAATGCCCGCCTTTTATCTGAGGCGTAATGTTTGAATACTCGAGACGCTCTTTTTTACGATAAGCAGTTACCTGCTTGCAAGGACACTGAAAATAATGAATTTTTACATTGGTTGTGCATTTATGAACCGAGTGATATGGGCATTTGTTCCGTTTACTGGATGTGAGAGTGAGGAGCTCAATTAGTAGTTATTCGACGTGTTTCATCCTAGCATATGCATGCAGTTATGTATAGCATATGACCTTTTTGACCAATAAATGGAAAACTAGCATCATGGCGAACTATTTTAGTTTTGCGTAACGATCGTTTTGTTGCGTAACCCCATCAGTGTGTATACCAGTCAGTGCTCGTTCGTGCTTGGTGCTTCGTATACTGTTGCGATATAACCATGCCCGGACATTTGCTGGCTATACGCGTGACGATCGTCTGGTTACCATTACGTACACTCCAATTCCTTATCATACAATGTTGATGGCGCCTGTCATCATACAATGTTGATGGCGCCTGTCATTTTGTACTGTTGCTGCTCCACCCGTATCGTATCCGTCGTTCAATAAACTGCTGCGACTTATATTGGTTTTGCACTGCATACGGTTCGATGGAAGCCTAATCGCTAACATGAGCAGTGCCGAAGAAAAAGCATCATTAAATCAAAATGAAGCTAAAGTATCTGTATATTCAATTTTAGTCAACAAAAGCGAACGAGAGGCGACAACCTTATATCATATATTACGCTCTGTGGCTATAGAAGAGTGCTCATCATCACAGACAGATGACCAGAAGCGATAGCGGCCAACAGTAACCATCCAGTGGTCGATGGCCCTCTCCAACCCAGGACACAGTCCTTCCGGATAGAGTTCTCACGGTCGCGAATATCCTTTGGTAGCGGCTACGTCGGTGCTAATTCAGTTGTAGTCGGGCAGAGGTGCACACATGATCTTGACAAAGTCCTCGTATTTGACGGTGCCACTGGAGGGGATTTTGGCCTCCCGGAACACGCGGTCCACTGGGGAGGGGTGCAGAGGTCAGAGGCAAAGATTTTCCATCACAAAACACAATACCGGCCAAATCAAATCCGTTACAGGCACAGAGCGCAGGTACGTGGTTGAGCTATACTTAGGAGCAACACAGTGAGCTGAAACAAATCCTGTAAAGGTCACGTGATTTCATAATCCTTCCAGCTGCAATTGAGTAAATGCCACGGCGCCGTATCCTACACTCCTTCACGCTTGTGACGGTAGAATCAAGACATAATGACAGCGGTTTTACTGAGGGCATATCACCGAGGAGACCCTCCGCGAGTCCCTCGCCACCGACCTTCCTGTTTGCTGAGCCGGTCTCCCCAGCTGGTGAGAAGCCAGCGCAGCTCTTTCACGGAGATGTGGCCCGTGCCGCGCGCGTCCTGCTGCTCAAACGCGCGCAGAATGTCGCCAGGGACCTTCTCTCGCTCCGTGTGCTCGTGCATCACCTCCAGAAAATCGGGGAACGACAGCTGGCCGCCTGTACACCGGGGATACAGTCACGGAACGCGAGTTTTACAGTGGCTTGTAAACGTTTTCACGCAACGTATTTCGCGCACACGCTTATTTGATTGATAACACTACGAGTAGCTATTTATTTTACCCAACATACAATATACACACTAGCAAGACACAACTGTAGCACCGGATGGCGTTTGAAACGGCGAGCGGTTCGTTACCTTGTTGCTAGATGGCAGTAAAAGCGTGCGCCTGTGCGATGCTGTGCCGCAGCGCAGCCCACCATGCATTGCGGAACAGCATCCTTCAGGCGCGCGATCTTAGCGCCATCTATTGAACAGTTTTGAACGCCTGCTATGAACAGAGACGTGGCAAGTAGATTCAGAAGAGGAAAGTGGAGAAGTGTCACACAGTGTTTCTGAAATGTCCGTAGCCTCTCCAGTCTCCAGGGATTAACCACTGCTGAAATTGCCGTTAATTCCCGCTGTCGATTACAACCCCGCGGGGCCTAGCGCCCAGTCGGACTGACCTTTCTGTTTGAGGTAGCGTCGCAGCTCCGTCGAGGTAGGGGACAGCCGCAGCGACCTCATTATGGTGGCCAGCTCGTCCACCGAACGGACCTGCTTCTGGCGCGCGTACAGATGAAAACACTCGCGAAACTCTGTGCGACACACAAGGACATGTCACGCTCCAACCGAACATTGACAACGATAATTCGATAATTATATAAACAATTATTCAGCTCGGGTACGTAATAAAATGCAAGTTTCAAGGTAACCATCGTCAACCGTGAATGGGGTTTCTGGTCAAGACCGATCGGTGCCAATGTGATGGGCTATTGAAGCGATTTCTGATAACGAATTACATCAAGTCAAGTTTTTTATCGGGATAATCATAATCCCCCTAGCTGTAGGCTGAGCATTGAGGACTGAGGTGCCACTGGTCTGACGTGATAGCATTCCTCTGATCGTTTTCATACAGCCACTGTACATACAGTGCACGTCAAGTGAATATCAGGCACATTATCTCGTAATCGCATCTTCCGTACGCTACTTATACTTACCATCGATATCATCTTGATTGAAAAATCTGGCCTGCAAGGAAAACAATGCATGGAATGATGATCAGGCAGCCGTATCAACATTCAAGGAAGCCGACCGACTAACAGTATTTCACTACGCTAATCTCATAACCGCTCGTTTGAATGCATAAATTAGAGGTAGGGTAGACCGGGGCAAGTCGCCCCGCCGAGGTAAAACGCCTCACCGATGTTTCTCGGAACTGGCAGAGTTCTGGGGAAACATCCTCTCTTCTATAAAACGTGCACTATATGATCATTATATGAGCAGACTGGAAAGAAATTGTGATGACTCTTTCGGGAGATATAGCCAAAAATGTGTTTTTTGAGTGATTTTTATGTTTTCTTGTCAGATTATGCATCATGGCGTTCTTTTATGGTCCACATCAGGTTAATGACTTTTATGTATTTTGAACAACTATTGTCTAACGCTTATCATGCCGGGTTGGTTCGTGTTAAATTATGTCTTGCTGGAGTGCAAAGCGTTGTTCTCTGACCGAACTACGTGATGGGGTAAAACGCCCCAGTAGGTCGCGGGGCAAAAAGCCCCATGGGGCGTTTTACCTCATGTGTTGTTCGGGCTACCCACTTTCTAATGTTCGGTAGCTGGCGAACAGTAAGTTTCTATGCCTTTATGTGTATTTTTCTCAGCAACTGGATGGCAAAGGAAGTATTCTGTAAACATTTGCATTGCAATAATTTATTATTTGGTCTTATGAAGCAGGTGAAAAACCTGCTCATAAAATAGTGTCATAGCTGAACACCTGACAGGATGGAATGTGCTAACTTCAGAGCCGTGCCTCCAGAGGTCTAACGGACCTCTCACATAAGATTAAGCCAACTACCATGTTAAATCTGTAATCTAAAGTATGGGGCTACTTGCCCCAGGCCGTGGGGCGTTTTGCCCTGGGGTTGGGGCAAAATGCCCCATTTGCAGTTGCTTCACAAATCACTTCCTAGCTTGGAGTCCGATCATAAGTGAATGAATTTGAGGGGTGCAATTTAAAGTAAAATGTCCAAAGAACGCATTGAGCACAAATTTGGCCTTCCAGGTGATGTGGGACAAAATTTATGTAGCAAAATAAATTATCTGGGGCGTCTTGCCCCAGGCTACCCTATTTGAAATCGCTGCGTCCCTTCCGTTGCTTATCTGTCGACATTCTACATAGTACATACAACACCCTATTTACCGGCAATGAACTATATATACACTCCACTCCGGCAATGAACTACCGTCTCGGTCTAACTCCAGTCATCGCAAACGGTCAGCCACGCCGCCTCGAGCTTCGGCTGCTGGCCTGCATGATAATTTCCACCCCTCTGGTTCAGGTCCGCCCCATCCCCCCCCCCTCACCACCCTCCACCGGTCCCAGTTTGGTCCTCTCCCCTCTCTATCTCTCTCTCCTCTCTCTCTCTCTTCCCTGCTGTCCGGTATAACTCACCATTTTGGCGACGAGTGTCCCTCCCTTCGGTGCGTGGCGACCGGCCGACAGCCCACGACTGACGCATCACCGCTATCTTATCATCTGATCCGTACCATATCGATACCTTACTATCTTATCGTTCTGACCGGACCGGCATCTGACACAGCCCACCTACCGCACAGGTAGATAACGCTACAGATTTCATTCCCCTCCGCTGTCAGTCAGCTGGCCGAAGACTACGAGAGCCCAGATCACAGCCGTCTACAAGTGAAAACGCGAACTAGCAATAAGTAATCACCAATCACACACAACTCTTCAAAGCTTTCATTTATTTGGAACCAAAATAACACTGCGGGCACGAAAAAGCTTCCTTTACCATAAGCAGGACTACATGGTACACAGCAGTCAGGCGGTGAAAATCGTCTATGCTTCAAGGCCATCCTAGCATCCAGCGTAAGAATAAAGCTGCAACATCAATGCACCTATAGCAAAAGCGTTAAAACGATAAGCTTACGATCCTGTAGTCTATATTGTAGTCTACATAGTACATACCTATATATGAGCCATAATAAATGTAAAGCGGTGATACTACGTCTTCACTACAGCTGACCCAAACACCTAAACTAGAGTCACAGCAGCACATCGCTCACTACAATTTGCAGCTCTAATATATACCCGGCGGCCCTCAACGTTTGCCAAAGCACCGTATCGTCTATATTTTCCACCAGTATATAGTGCAGGGCAAGCATTATATGAATACTTATATTCAAAAAGGCAATTACATATAAGCGGACCGGATTAGTCCATAAACATCTTCAGCGCTTTCCAAAAACGTATATGTTTTATTTTGTTTTACTATTTTCTATTGTTTGTTTGTTTATGTATACTTATTATATGTAGATACGTCTTTGAAAAGCGTTGAAGAAGTCGTTTATAGACGAAACCGGTCCAGTAATATGTAATTGCCTTTTTTAATGTATTCATATCATACTTGCTCTGGCCTCTGCACTACAAAGCACCGAATCTAAGAAACACGGGCAACAACCTACGCAGATACTAGCCCAAAGACCACTAGCCCAGAGGCCTCCATGCCAATGACTGTATGGTAGCTTAAGCAATAACACAAGAGCTTTCTAAGTTCTATAACACATCACTGCACTTCGTGAGAACGGAAAAACATAGTTCTAACAGTAAACGGGTGTGGCACCCCTCGCACCCCACGCCATACACTACATATGCAACTCAAGATACACCATAGCGAAGTAGATGGAACAGTTCATAGAACGCTCTTAAAACACAGCCAAGGGCTCCGGCTAACGGGCGAGTACTGCAAACTTTTTACGTTTAGTTTAATTATGCTCGTCCAACGTTAACAATTGATTTGTAGTGGATTCACGGCAGTCAGTGTTGGGCTTACGCCATTGTTTTTTCAACCTACTTGAGAGGCATGTGCTTGACTTACTAGCTTGAAGACAACAGTGGAAGCCAATAACAACACAAAAAGTGTACAACAGTCGCCATGTAGCCGGTACTTAATACTAATCACGCGGATAGCAGGGAAACAAAACACAGAAAACGGGTTCTTATTTATGGCATTACATGTACGATAGCAATACATACATGTACATGTACAGGGTGTCCAGAAAAAACGGATACTATCATATTTTGCTGTAATTCCGAAAATAAACACCTTACATTTTAAAATGGCACATGCTTGTATTCGCCAAAATATAGCAAAACAGACAGCAGGTGCCACATGGAATGTAAACTCTTTGGTTAGTTGCGGCAGCTCCTCAAAGCAGATACTCAATGTGAGCGGCCTTACGGCGGATCAGCTCCAGCACTAGCACAGTCTGCAGGTGACTGATGGTCATGTTGACCATCTCGGAGGGCAAGCAGACAACTTTCCAACGACGCATTACAGTGCTCATGAGCTTTGCCAAATCTTGCACTATAAGCACATGAATTTGGAACAAAATCGGCACGTGCGTTAATGAGTGCGACTTAATTTCCGTAGTATCTTTTTTTTCTGGACACCCTGTACAGCGGCAATACATATACCTACAGTCCGTACAATACAGTCCAATGCAGTCCCTAATACAACACAATCCTGTGTGCGGCTCCGGACGTATCTTCGATAGAACATCACAATACTGCCACACAACGGTGCAACATGAAGTCACACCTCGTATTCTTCACAAAACTCGACATTTCCTTACACGCTACCCTCCCATACACTGAAAGCCATACATGAGCCACGTTGTTACAATAAAAGCAAAAATTGCCGAATCTTACCACATTTTCACGTATAATGCGTCCGTAGGAGTTGCAGTGGGCCATTCCGGCGCCCACGTTTGGATCTCAGCGGCCGGGAGCACACTGGCGGCTGACGCGCCTGGCGAGGGCGCGGCCGAGGCGGCGCGGGGAGAGCTCTCTTTCCGGCAGGGGATTCGGGTGGTAACGGCTGTGTCGGACGGACGTCCAGCTCGAGCTGTCTAGTGCTCGCAAGGTTGTGATGATGCTCAAGTGCTCGTGATATGGTGATGTTGCTCACAATACAGCAAAGTCAACGCAACATTCGCTTTGTTCCACGGTCTAAATGTCAATGCCATACCAAGGGCGAATCACAAAACACATAACAGGTATAGTAACACCAGGCGCACTCCGCCTTACAGGGTGTCCCATAAGTTCGTTCTCACCTAAATTTTACGTTTTTAGGCTTTCTTGCTTAAAGGCACGCTGAAATTGGTTCGTAATTGAGCTTACATGGTTGCCATGGCTGGTAGAAATATGCTCCACAGTAGCTAATTTCTGTAGACAAAATAGTTTTTGCTAGAGAGCCCGCTTCCTACAGAGACGGCTAACGCCGCAACATAGAGGTCTCCGATACGGGTACGTCTCAGCATTTAGTCAGCACGTGACCATTCGCGACGATTGAGGGTGATTGAGGCCTACAAGTCTGTAGCCAATATCCATCGCTAACTGGACGCACAGTCAGCAAGTGACGCCGATGATTTGTTGGGAGTCAATCACTGCAAGTTTATCCTCTTTCTAGCCAGCCCTCAGGAATGAGCCAAGTGGCCAAAACTGTGTGGCGTCAAAGTGGCCATCAAAAAGGTCAAAGGGTTAGAAAGTTGGTAAACAGACTTTTCAGGATGGATTACCAGCTGTCTAAGAGTGTTCTTTCGGGGTACATAACTCAAGGTGACTTAAGCTTTGCTTACCGGAGGGCACAAAACAGTCAAAAACGTCTTAAAATGGCCAAACATGAGTTTCGTTATGCCTGAGGCTAAACAAAACTAGAGGGCTGATGACATCAACCAGGTCATCTGGACTAACTAGTCCACGTTCGAGATGAAACACCCGTCCAAACCCGAAAACAACCCCATAAGGGCGAAGGAGGAGGCCTTCATTTCGTCCCGTTATGTTCCTATGCAAAAGGCCAGGGTTACTGTGTTGTGGGGTTATAGGCGTTCTGGAGTTGATCAAGTTACAAGTGGCAACCCAGAAACAGTTTTGGGAAGCAGAATGCTTTTCCAAGAACATCTAGGAGGAATTTCAGCCCTCAAGCTGAACTCGAACCGCGAGTATGAACACATTTATAGAGGAGAAAATGGCATCCGGGAGGTCGTAGGCCCATCTTCAGGCAAGACAGTGCATCAGTGCACAGGTCAAGCAAAGCTTAAAAGCGGTGCAAGGAGACTGTGACAGGCGTTTGTAGCAAGATCACATGCCAGGCACCTCATCGGATCAAAATTTCATAAAAATTTGTTGGTTATGCTGAAGTTGAGGCTCGTCGAAGCGTAGCGCTGTTCCAGCCTCGAGGAGCTCACGGCGCATGTCAAGTCAGTCTGGGTTAACTTTAAGCCTGCTATGCAGCCAAACATGCCGGTTGGCATGCCGCAGCATGTATTCGTGTGTTTGCCTATTAAATGGGGAGCACATTGAGGGGTCATAAATATACCAAAACGCAATGTACTCTGTTTCACATGCAAACATAATGTGAGAACGAACTTATGGGACACCCTGTAGAGCACACTGTTCCCTCGATATCTTTCTCGTACCAAGCATTGGAGAAGCGACACGGTCGAATAGGTAGGTACCCCTCCCGCCGGGCAGACCCCTCTTCAAACGAACACCCCCACCCCGACTCCCGAGGGGTGTGTGCCTCACCCCACAGCAGGGTACCCCGTCCATCAGCACAGCGGGTCAGTCCACCCACCGCCGGTGGGACCAGTGGTGTCACTCCTCCCTTCAGGACGGGGGGTAGAAACCGGGCTTCGACAAGGAAGGCATTTAATCACACGGTTTATAGTGGAAATGATTATCAATATGTTCGGTGCAGTTCATGGGCGCACTGTTCACAGCGCACGTTACATCTGTTAGGCGATACTCTGAGTTGAACTCGGTTACGACTACAAGACGACTAAAGATCTAGCACATACGAAAAGAGAGTGAAAATTGAGTGCATGATTCAACCATCTACATAAAGCAAACCTTTTGTCCCGCCCACCCAAGGTAGGTGACCAAGCGACGCTGCAGATACCAAATACATTTCCAGAGAACATGGAACATGCATGTCCCTATTCTCTGGTCATGCTTTGACGGACAAAATGTCTGATACGTCACCGATCATCCCCAGAAGGCTGCGCAGGACATCTCGTGTACCGAACGATATCACTGAAAAAACTGTACTGAAACCCACTGTACGAACTTAACGGAACTGAAACTTTCGGTTTCAGTCTGAAAGACAAATATATGGGGTGTTGAAGAGTTCACACTCATTACCGACCTTTTAACAAGCGTGTCATCATTTGAGGCATTTGGAGTTTTTCTTTCGCCACTGAATATATTTTGAGGATACTTTTAAGCCTTACCTTTTCGATATCGAATAGTGCAATGAACCGACTTCGGTATCGTTTGGAATCACATATCTGACCCAGTTTCGTACAGCACAAAATACCTATCGGCATCTTCCGACCAGCTTGACCACACCCTGTGCAGCTCGCCAAAGGCCATGATACCTCGGTTACTAGCGCTGTTCTCTTCGTACTGTGTCCTGATCCCTGCTCTCTCCTATAACCTCATCCCGCTACACCGACCCTCGGGGCCTCTGTCTCGCTCTGCGGACAATGTAAGCAGGACATTGAGATCTCATAGACCGGCATCGACTCTCAGTCGGCAGACCAAGCTGTACGAGCTCCGCCGGGCCGCCGCTGAAAGGCACGGCTGACCAGCAACTCCCTTACGACCCGCCCCCTGTAGAAACCCCGTCCCCTTGGAACCCAACGACTCGCACCAATTAAGGACACTCTTCTCAGTGTAAATTAATGTAGCTTATGTCAATGTAAAGCACTTATTTTGCCAGTCGTTTTCCATTCAGGTGGAGCTAAGACTCCCCTGGTGCACCCGGTCACCTGCCAGGCTCTCGGACACGGGGCGCAGAGTCGGGTTAGACAGGGACCCGGCCGGCAGGGCTCGAGTCGGGTCCCTCCCGACCGCTGCAGTGCCGCACCTGCGAACAACGGTCACTTCATTAGTATACCATCGGCAGTGAGCTCAGTTAGCATAGAGAACATGCATACGACAGCTGCAGTGACAGTGTAAATAATCAATATACTGTTAGGCAAGACTTTCTGCAAGTAGAGTACCAATGTGGAAGAGAAGATTAAGCAGGCTGAGGCTGAATATTTGTTTGTCCTACTTATGTCTATGAGTTATGACTGTCACATTCCATCTTATCTATGGTAAATTTGGCATAAATTGCAATGCGAGAACAAAGTACGGAAAACAGATCACTCAGTCGTAACACGTCAACAGCAGCCTGGTATTTCGTTTGAGCGCTATTTAGCACCGATCGTAGACCGTTATTGTAAATTGTCCCCTGGAGATAACCTGTATGCTCCGGGGGGGGGGGGGGGGTAAACTAACCGTCAGCCGCGAACGAGTTCCGTTATCCGCCTCATACCGTGGGTGATGTACCACGTAAGACCTGCCGAATAGCCGGGGTAGAGGGAGGGTCACATACGGACATTGGGACGGACCACAGTCAGTCGAAACCACACTATACACGAGCCGACCGGCACCCGGTCCCCACTGAGCGACAAATACCGGACGTCGATACTGAAAACCGACAAACCAGCTGCTCCACAGACCGACTGGAATGACGTCACAGTCTCCGCAACCGATAAACAAACGCCAAACCAGAGTTAATCAGCAAATGCTTTAAACATCAAAATGGTGTACGGCCTGATATACAACCACTCATGATTTCGAAATGCAGGCAATTGATCATGATAACTTGATAAACCAACTAAGTTACAGATAAACCAATAATGCCACCCGATAGCTGAAAATATTATCCTCCCGAGAGCCTGCGCAGCCATTTTGATGACGTCAATATCACGCAAAGGCAGCGTGCATGAACAATGAACATGCTTGTCGGTGTCCCTATTATTTATCATTCTTATCACCGAATCATGGAGCCGATAAAACGTCTGGCAAGTGAGGCCCAGGAGGCTGCCGCTCATAGTGCAGAACGTTGAAACATATCCCTAATCCCACCACTCTAAGTCGCCTCAGCCCCATTGTCAGATTACCGCGACACCCAACGATACTGTGACACCAGTCCTCGGTGATACCTTGAAACCATCATTCCGTCTCTTATCAACTCGAGTACAGCCCAAACATACCGCCCACCAGCATTAACTGCGCAGAGTGCATCGGTCACAGATTGACGAGAACAGTCACAACCAACAAACAAGGTCTCCCTGTCGGCACTCAGAGGCAGCTCTTGCCACCGAGTTGATAAATCAGCCCAGTCCCTCGCCTGTGGATGTCGTCCCCCACTCCCATATCTAGCCACGCTGCCTCTCGTGCCTCTCAGAGTCGCTCACCTTTACTGTCTCTCCTCTCTAGCGGACCGGCCGGCGACGTGTTGTACGAGCCGCACTCGCGACACTTGAGGCCGATGATGTGGTACTTGGTGGGCCCCGTGCTGTGGCAGTCGCAGCAGAGGACGTTGATGTAGGTGTGCCGGTACTCGGCAGGCACTATCGAATGACGGATCGCCTTGTCCATCCGCGCCCACTCCTGTCGGGAGTAGAGACGTTAGAGTAGAGGATACAGATAGATAGATAGATAGATAGATAGATAGATAGATAGATAGATAGATAGATAGATAGATAGATAGATAGATAGATAGATAGATAGATGGAGAGAGGGCGAGAGAGAGAGAGAGAGAGAGAGAGAGAGAGAGAGAGAGAGAGAGAGAGAGAGAGAGAGAGAGAGAGAGAGAGAGAGAGAGAGAGAGAGAGAGAGAGAGAGAGAGAGAGAGAGAGAGAGAGAGAGAGAGAGATGGTGGGAGGGGAGGGGTTGACCATCGGACGGTATGCTGGGTCAGACGATCACGGGGTCGGAGTTGAAGGTCATGCGACAGGGGCAGAGGCAGACCAAGCAGTACAGTTGGGAAGATAGGGCCGAGTGCGCCGGAACTGTCCGATAAACACTGAGCCAAAGTGAGCGCGTCATGCAAGCAAAATGTACTCAACGGGTCGCGATAGCAGCCGTCAACTATAAACAACAGCTCTCAACTGCTCAACGGAGCCTAATAAATACAACATCTGGCTGCTACGTTTAATATTCATCAGTTAACGACGTCAAAACGCTCGACGCTCGAAAGACGCTCGAAAGCGCAGACACGACACAGTGGCACCTCAAACACTCAGCCAAATCTGCGCACGTACCAGCTTTCTGTTTTTGATGGAGACCTTGCACTTGGGACACGTGTTGAGTCTATGTTGCACCATCTCCTTGTAGCAATGTACGTGCAGCAAGTGACCGCAGGGCAGCACCTGTCCTCCACTGCGTGCCGAGTGGATATCCTCCAGGCACACTCCGCAGTCGGAGCGGCCGACCCCCTTCAGACACTGTGAGGTGGGGGGGGGGGGGGGCTAACATCAGTCCGAGTCATAAACCCCTTCCAGACACTGTCGACAACGAGTCAAATATCAGTTGGAGCCATAAATCCCCTTCAGACACTGTGGACAACGAGTCAAATATCAGTGTGAGCTATAGCTCCCTCCACACACTGCGGGCGATGTCAGTAAACATCAATCAGAGCCGCTACTTGTTCGGACGCGGCACCGGCCGGCCACAGACCCTGAGTTGCTGACCGGAAGGGGGAGGGCGGGGAGACATGGGGCGCCGTGCAGCCTCCGTCGGCAGGCCGGCCGCCACTCCTGGCGCGCTTCAACCACGTGTCGAACGGGGGCGCGGCGCGCTCCAGCGCCGCTCGGCCGCGCAGGCGGGGGCGCGGCTCAGTGCCGACAGGAGTGTCGCGTGACGAACAGTGTCTGACCACGAGGTCTGTGAGGAGTGTGTGGAGAGCAGGCTGTATGGACAGGATGCGCGGAATCTCACCTGTTGGAGAGGCCGGTGCCGGACGGAGCAGACGACCGAGCACGGCCGTCAGCCCAGCCAAACGGCCGGGAAAGGCGACAGAGCGCCCGTCTGAAGACAAAACGCGACGCACGCGAGACGAGAGTGACAGCCAGTGATTGGCGCACATATTGAAATCAGGTGAGTGCAGCTGTGACGGTGGGCATGTCAGGCAGTAGATAATCGTGTGGGGTTGTGTGGTAGCGTCGTGACTGGCGGCGCAGCGTGTCACACCGACCGACCTTGTGATTGTTTTGCATGATGTTTGGCAAACACAGGTCGCACTCGGCACAGTGGAAGAACTTGTCCCGGCCACCGGAGCGGCAGATGCCGCACTCTGTGCAGTGGTACTGGCCCTTCTCTTCATCATCGTGTAGCCGGCACACGTCACAGTAGTACTGAAATAACACACACGGGGAACAACCGTTATCACACATCACATGAATACTGGAATCACACGCACGGGACAGCAGCCGTCATCAAACGCACAACCACATTAATCCTATCATCAACAACATTCAACCGAATACCTATCACCACCCGGCACAGACAGCGCAACAACCACACAACTCCGATCGCGGAGATAACATAGGGTTCTATCCTACAAAATGTTTGCCAGAGTGCATTATTATGCAATGGTTCAACCATGACTCTATTTGATTATTCAACAGCGCATGAAACCTGCATGAGAATATCCCCACGAGTCCGATCAAATAAACAAAGCAGTGGTATGGAAATGCGCATGTATTCCCCCCCCCCCCCCCCCCCGCTGCCATTCCAAGCTTTCATCACCCAGTCCCTTCCCCACGGAGCTCATCTGACCTTGCCGAGCCGTGAGCCGCAGTGGGCGCAGTCCTGCTGCATGGGTTGCCTGGTGTCGCACTGTGTGCACACCATCTCCTGCACCTCGTGACGTTTCATCTCATGGTCCTCCTTCTCGTCGTGGCAGAACCGACACGAGTACACCCTGGAGCAGCACGGTGCCTGAGGGGGGGGGCGGGGGCGGCAATCAGCTGAGTGAGTGCGGCAGTCAGCTGAGCGGACCGTCAGATCCATCCACACACGGCACTGACCTTGAGTCCCTGCCAGACGGTGATTACACAAGCAATACTGGACAGTAGATGAATGGCTGTGCCTTTGGACCTGGGCGTACCACTGCTGGATGCCACCCTGGGGTACTCAATCAGTGGCATTAACGGTAGGTACTACTGGAGCCCGCTCTGGGGTACCGTGGTCAGTCATGGGTAGTGCCTGCCGCACATTGGCTCCTATTCAAGCATACCCACGCACCCAGTCCGATTGAATGGTCACGAATACTCACCACGGGCCGTGCTTTACGCCGGTAATGACTGCAGCCATCGGGATCCAGTTTCACATCTTCACTGTTAATGCTGGAAGGCCCACTATTACCGCCATAACTGGAGCCTTCTTCACTACTAGTACTGGAAAGCCTGTTACAGCCATCACTGGGGCCTTCTTCGCTGCTAGTACTGGAAAGCCTGTTACAGCCATCACTTGGACTTTCTCCGCTGCTGTCGCCGTCATTGCCGCTGGCCGATACGCGACCAGTCCTCGGCTGGGCGTCTCGTTCGATCATTGCTGAAGGCATGGCTGTTTTTTTCTAAGAAAATAGCTTCCTGTTTAGATTACTGCACCTAGAAGAAAACAAAACCATGTCTTAGGATTCAGAAGACGATCGTTTCAAATACAGTAAAAGTACCTACGTCTCACTGGTGGAACCTACTCAAAAGACAGCAGTAACTTATTCGCTGGCTGTGAGTCATGTCGCCGGGATCCGTCGCACAGAATTGCTGGTGACAACCACGTTCGGTACTGGCAAAACCATAACGTGCTCTTGCTGTCATCCATTCTATTTCTAACCCTCTGAGCACTATTCCAGGGTAGGTTGAGGTAGGTAACATGCGGACTCCAGCACCTCCCGTGCACGCTGCGGTGCGCTGTATGTCGCGAACCCATTGCCCTCCCGCACAGCAGGCGTCCGGTGGTTATCCCCCCGGGGACCAGGCTGGTCAGACGCGCAGTTCACTCGTCGGTGTTTACGATAAATCATGCAATAAGTCAACCATACATATCCCGACACGGTATGCTACAGACTGCAGATGCAGCGTGTCGTTCCTGAAATATCACGAATTACCTACCAATTATTAGGTTACCGATTAATGTCAATCGCATGTGTAGTTGGTTATCAGTTGAACAATCACTTCAAGCTCGTAGGTAGCAGAATTTCGCTACACAAGGAAAGAAACGAGGGAGGTGCGGTGGTTCGGTACCTTTTCGTTTCGTGTGCAGTTGCAACCAAAAATTCATCATTATCTCGGCAAGCGTTTTTCAGCATTTGTTCTTTGTTTGTTGTACCTAGCTATTGAGTAACTTACGTATGCTTATTTATATACACTGTGCGTATGCTAATAATGTCAATCGCATGTGTCGAAGGACGAGCTCTCTGGTGACCACACATGATCCATGCTATCAATTTGAGACCTTTACTGAGAGAAGCCAACTACGGTGTGGCCTCTTTCTGCTCCCGGCGTTTTATTCCCTGGGTGGGTTAACCCAGTCTAGCGTATATTCCGCTCAGGGCCACGGTTGTTTTTTACGCTCGCCCCAGTCGAGATGCAAAGTTAATGGTCACACGAAGCTTATTTGGGACCAGCATGCATATCGATGAAAGAAAAAGGCTGTAGAATCGATTAAATTCGAAGTCGTATATTCAGAGGCCCCAAATAAACTTCGTGCGACTATCAACATTGCACCTCGACTGGGGCGAGCGGCGAAAACAGCCGCAGCTCTAAACGGATACCGAAAGGCTAAGTGCTAGACGGGGTTGACCCACCCGGAGAATAAAACGCCGGGACCAGAAAGAGGCCACAATGCCAACGCTGCTTGCAACACTCAAAACATCTGTTAATTTTCTTGTTTTTGTTTTCTAACTCATTCTCCTACCATGAGGAATACTATATGACAACTTTGCAGCCCAGTGCTTTATAACATAATGACCTTATATTCATGGTTGAACAGAATAGATAGGTTCCAAGTCAAACCAAACCATAAGTAATCATATGAAAGTAAACCACCCTCTATTATACATGCACAAACAATGATTGCCTGAAATGAAGCAGATTGAAATGAATATAATCAAATGAATAACTAAACAAGTATGCAAGCATCTTGATTCTGGTACCCCCCCCCCCCCCACACACACACACTCACACATTTTTCAAGGTTTTTATATTAAATATTTTGGTGTACTTTTAATAAAGATGAAAGTGTTGTTATTCTTATAAAAATGAAAATCAAAACACTAAAATAAGCTTAGCAGGGAAAGACAAAGTTGTGGTTCTGATAAAAATACAAAAAAAGAGAAAAGTTCTGGCACAATAGGAACTAATTACCTAAATATAAAATTGTTAATGACACATGTAGGCTAATAAACCTCTATTTTAACAGGACTTATAGTTATACCTTCACCTGCTGTCATTTACCAGGTAGGTACTAACATGCAGAGATGCAGGTAAGTATACCATGCATCTCTGTACAACTACAAACATGATGTACAAAGCAATAGCCTAATGGACTTCAGCAATTTCTATATCTATTAAGTTGAAAAATATTGAGTTTTATGACTAAACATATAGAAAACTTCAATTTCCACATATACCTAGCCAATAAAACATCATTGCTGTTAGGATTATTTGATTAATTTTTAGTGAGGATTTCAGCTTCAAGTACCTATCATGTTCATCATGAATATACAAGGCAAAGAAAGTACACATGTTAGCATACCCTAAAAAAGGAAACTTGAATGAACAATCAAATATTTAAAGTCAAATTATAAGCTTTTTGAAATATCATTTCTGGTTCACTAAATCTTATTTAAAACATACTTTTTAACTTGTCATTTACTGCTTATTTCATGTAGTACATTTATAAAAGTACACCGTTATAGAATGACCATTAACCTTTCAACAGCAACATAGGTACCTAATCTTAAATAGGTACCAGCAAATGCCTAAAAATATTTGGTTTGGATAAGAAAACAATAATAATTTGTTTAAAATGTATCATCTAATAACACTTTGAGAAAAAAGGAAAGTTTGGAATCTGTATAAATAAATCTTCCATTTTAATCATTCATGAATGTGCAAACCTTTGTGATGAGCATGTACTAGGAGCTAACATATGTCAGCTGCAAGGGCAATTGTAAATCATGAGTAAGGTGTCACGGTAATCGTTCTAATTCCTAAGCTTGAGCTTACACACCAGTCTGCAAAACGTGGCAGCCAGCTCGACGAGGTGTTTGGGGCAGCCGGAATCCTGCCCCAAATGGGGCAGTTAGCCTCCCGGGCAGTCGAATTTCTGCCCCAAATGGGGCATCTAATTGGGGCAGGTTAGATTATGCCCTAAATGTACTATATATAGCATAAAAACTTCATATCAATACATCACCCGCGCTAATTTAAGTCGGTCGCGGTAATGAGACTCGAACAATTTTTTAACGAAAGGATCTGATCATTGGTCAAGGTTATATTATATAGAGCGGCTAGTGTTCTGGTTAAAATGTGATGATGACGCAGTTGGGGTGCAAAACTGCCTCATGTTGCCATGGCAACGTCGAATCAATCGGCAGCGAGGGGCGCATTTCGTTTTTGCAACCAAAGAGAGGCGCTTCTCGGACAATGCCCCAATGCATCATTGAAAAACTGATATTACACCTCGTCTCGGCGATGATCAGCTAATTGGTGGCTTAGATTTAAGTGTGCAGAGTATGCTCGTCTCTTAATCTGTAGGTCGCGGGTTCGCAGCCGGTCAGTTAAGCGTTTTAGCACGCGTTCGTTTCTAAGTGGAAATGTGGATATCATTTGGCCGGACGGGGACGGCAATCATCGTGAGGGCTATACAGCACATTTACGAGTGTTCGATTAGGTCAGGTTTGGTCTGGTTCGGTTTGGTTTGATTTGGTTTGGTGAGGCTAGAAAGGAGTATCTCCGGGTAGCGCCTTTCCTTGGTTGCTAATACGAAACACGGCGCGTAAAACATTCATAGCCCCGATGAAGGGAAAACTCGAATATGGTAGCAGTTACAAATGACAATTTCTGCGCTTCAGCGACGTTTGTGGCGCAGCTCACTTTTTCTCGCGTGTTTCAACAATACTCTGCTTCTATATTATTTTCCACCGGTAGCGTGCACCCCGCCCCGGTCCGCCCCGACTGCAAACGGTCTGCCCCGGTATTGCCGAACTCTGCCCCGATTTCTCAAAAGCTGCCCCGATATCTGCCCCCGCCCCACTGTGTCTGCCCCGACGAGATCTCGTCGAACCCTGCCACGTTTTGCAGACTGGAGAATGAGTAGGTAGGTACGGCCCAGTCTGCAAAACGTGGCAGCCAGCTCGACGAGGTGTTTGGGGCAGCCGGAATCCTGCCCCAAATGGGGCAGTTAGCCTCCCGGGCAGTCGAATTTCTGCCCCAAATGGGGCATCTAATTGGGGCAGGTTAGATTATGCCCTAAATGTACTATATATAGCATAAAAACTTCATATCAATACATCACCCGCGCTAATTTAAGTCGGTCGCGGTAATGAGACTCGAACAATTTTTTAACGAAAGGATCTGATCATTGGTCAAGGTTATATTATATAGAGCGGCTAGTGTTCTGGTTAAAATGTGATGATGACGCAGTTGGGGTGCAAAACTGCCTCATGTTGCCATGGCAACGTCGAATCAATCGGCAGCGAGGGGCGCATTTCGTTTTTGCAACCAAAGAGAGGCGCTTCTCGGACAATGCCCCAATGCATCATTGAAAAACTGATATTACACCTCGTCTCGGCGATGATCAGCTAATTGGTGGCTTAGATTTAAGTGTGCAGAGTATGCTCGTCTCTTAATCTGTAGGTCGCGGGTTCGCAGCCGGTCAGTTAAGCGTTTTAGCACGCGTTCGTTTCTAAGTGGAAATGTGGATATCATTTGGCCGGACGGGGACGGCAATCATCGTGAGGGCTATACAGCACATTTACGAGTGTTCGATTAGGTCAGGTTTGGTCTGGTTCGGTTTGGTTTGATTTGGTTTGGTGAGGCTAGAAAGGAGTATCTCCGGGTAGCGCCTTTCCTTGGTTGCTAATACGAAACACGGCGCGTAAAACATTCATAGCCCCGATGAAGGGAAAACTCGAATATGGTAGCAGTTACAAATGACAATTTCTGCGCTTCAGCGACGTTTGTGGCGCAGCTCACTTTTTCTCGCGTGTTTCAACAATACTCTGCTTCTATATTATTTTCCACCGGTAGCGTGCACCCCGCCCCGGTCCGCCCCGACTGCAAACGGTCTGCCCCGGTATTGCCGAACTCTGCCCCGATTTCTCAAAAGCTGCCCCGATATCTGCCCCCGCCCCACTGTGTCTGCCCCGACGAGATCTCGTCGAACCCTGCCACGTTTTGCAGACTGGCTTACACATGCAGCAGCTACACTGCATATTCAAATTTGAATTGCTAAGGAAGATTAAACATGTAAAATAATATTGCTGACATAGTTTTCTGTAAATTTCTTGCTAAATAAAATAAAAAATTAAATTTAATTTAGAAAACCATTTATTTCAGCTTCCGTATGGTCTGGTGCGCCAGGATGGTCTTCATATCTAATAACGTCGAAATCTAACAATGAACGGTGAAATACTTACTACAATCAAGTGAAATGTGCTTATGTTAGTCGTTGATGATTAAATCTACAATAAATTCACGAAATCACAACCGCACCTGGGCCAAAAATTGACGGCAAAAGTCCGGGAATCCCCACTCAAACTCTTTGTTTACAACGTTCACTAATCTGCGCAACGCAACGGACGGTGACTCATGCAAGGTGTTAGTGCTGCCAAATGCAGAGGGATCCCTTCAAAGCTAGGCATTCGACATTCTGACCAGTAAAACCAGTATAAGTAATCTTGATATATGTAGTTAGGAGACCTTTTCCTCGATAATTAATTGGAAATTCAATAAAAAATAAATATTATATTGTTTGGCAAATTTTCGAACAACAGTTCATTCTCAAGCCACATGAAACAATTGACTAATTAATCACATATAATTGTGATTTCGGTATTTAGGGCCTTGGGCTCAGCCGAACTTTTTTTCAGCGACCCACCAATGGGAATTTCCGGATGCTTTGATCCTCCAATTCTGGATTAATAATGATGGCTAATATTCGAAAGGCTTAGGCAGATGACAAAACCACAAGCAATTTGAGGTCACTGTGCACTTCCAATAAAATTTCTAAAAAACAGATGGTAAATTAATGAAATAATGATACATCATACAACGCCTTACCTACTTATCACTCTTATCTTTCTAGTTGAGGTTTATTTGCCATCAAATCAATTCACATGTCTTTTTCATAAAAAGATCACTGTTCAGCGCAGCAAGTCACGAAAAAATCTGACGCTGATAAAAAGGATAGATGAGGCTACATCCCCCCTTCAACATACACACAGACGGCGCGGAGAGCAAAATGAAAGCAAATTACGATGTGGAGTCTTACCGAGTCTTCCGTTTACGCAGGCGCGGCTCCTCTTTGGAAGCTGTGGGCGTGGGCGGCACCGACAGTTGGAGGGCTGCAGCACTGGTGTGGGATTGACGCTAGCTATGTGCTATCACAGTAGGTACAGGTACTGCAAAATACTGCGCTATCAACATTCTGCACTATCTGCGACCGACCTTTATCCAAGATACACTTGACACACAAGATAGATGCCGACACAAACAAGGTACAAACTGCTATTCTGAAAGGTTATTTCGAATGTGTACCTATGTACCTATAAGCATTCAGTGAAATAAATCGAGCGCTTATGTAATCTGGAAAAAATGCGAAACATGCAAAACTAAACTGAACAAAATCAGCCTTTAGTCAGTTTTAAAACATCTGAGTAGCATTCTGATTAGTGTTGTGTCTGTTTCAGTACTGCAAAATGGCGTCGTAATGTTATCGGCAATAGTTCTTCCCTTCGTCTGTTCTAACCTGTCACCATCCCCCCCCCCCTGCGGCACGTCAGGGTCACCGTTCTGATTCAGCCGCTCACGGACGACGACCACCGAGCTGCCAAGCTCCTCCCCCTCCCCCTCGCACCATCAACGAGCTGCCTGTATCCAGTTCCCGCGCGTGCCCGGACCTAAAATAGCCCCCAGTGGCCGTGTGGCTCCAGGGCCGCCGCGCCGGCGGATTTCGTCGCTGCCGAGTGCCGACGCTAGCCGTGCCGTCGGCGTCGACGCCCTCTCTGAGCAGAGTCGGCCGAGAGTCAGCGAGGAGAGTGAGACTGTCTTCTGAGACTGACGGCCAGTCGTCGGTCTGCCATCCCACCGACTGACTGACCGACTGACCGACTGGCCAGCGCACCGACCAGATCCGGCCGTTCGTATAGGCGCAGTGGGTGGTGGACGGAGGTGGTCGGTGGACGGCGGCGGCGGCGACGGCCGTTTGCTAGTGAGAGTGAGATACCTATACTCTGAGTGAGAGTGAGACATAGAGAGTGAGTGGAAAGTGTCAGCGAAGTGACAGCAAGCACCACAGCCGACCGTGGGACCGATAAGAAGCCTCTCCTGCCGCCTGGTTAGTCATCACACCTGACCTTGTAAGGAGAGGACTTCTGTAGCGTGCTTGGTCACGTGACCTGTTGAACGAGCTCCGTCGCAAGTTCCAAGAGGGTAAGGGAGTGTATTTCTATTCTTCTTACCTATTGGCGTGTGTCAAAAAGGCCGTAACCGTCTAAATATAATCATGTCAGAGCGTTCATACTTGGCACTGACAAATTAGGTAATAAATACCGCACTTGCCGATCATAGGTACCTAAATAATTTTCTAAACATTTTTCTGGCAATTAGATATTTATCAGCAATAAACAATTATACAAATTCAATATCGCATAGCCCATGACTTTCTGTAGGCGTCTTCACTAGCATCCTCTGACTGTCTCAAGCTTTTTTTCAAATACTCTCCAAGACGGGATGTCATGTAAACGTAATTAATTAATTAACGTAATTAATTAATGTAATTACGTATGTTCGTTTTTGTCTCAAAGGACGCCCTGTGACCGCTTGACCTTCCAACGCTCGCCCTGTGCCCGCCTTAGCTGATACCGGGTGACTGTCTCAGCATGAACATTCAATGATGAGTGCCAGTTTCTATATTACAATACACATTGAGGTCTCCGTTGACTCAGCGAGTCGTTACGCCACCACACTACTCCTGGCCACGACGTGCGAGGTGCGACAGACGTACATATTTGTAGAATAGCCCTGTTATGACAGGACAGATACCTAATCATAAATGTCGTCGCGAAATGTCATCGGCGACGGCACTTACCATATTAAATTCCTATCTCTTACACTGGCATGTGATCCAGAAAGGCGGTCTTTTAAGCTGGGGGGGGCATACCCCAAAAAGTTTCTCCAAATTCTAAAAACGCATCGGATTTCGATTTCTTACGCATACTGCTGTTAAGTTTGAAACAAACTTTTCCTCATACAAGTCGTTTAGTTTTCATTTTATTGCCGAAAAACGATTTTTTGTCGATTTCGGGTGCTGGGGGGGGGGGGGAGAATTTGTCCCAAATGCCTAACCCTGGATCCGCCAGTGATCATATATTGGTGCATTTTAATCAGCTGATGTCACTCGGCAACAGGAGCTTAAATGTATCTCAGCTGACTAAAACGTTTTGCTCACTTTCTTACCCATCACTCCTTCAGGAATGTTAACAATAGCAAGCGTTGGCACGCGTGCATTAAGTGGCCTCAGAATGTTGACAGCCGCAGCGCAGGTGTTAAAACACGCTAGTTCTTGACCCCCTGCCAATGAGCCCGCGACTAAGACAGCCCCCACTCGAGGGGGAGAAGAGATAACTCCGTGGCACGCACCGTCGCGTCGGTGTCTATTTCTGAACATGACTTCACTGGCGCGCCAGCTATATCCGTCCATCGCAGTCTGTTGGACGTTGCGTGTCGGTCCGACTTAACGTGTCCAACAGACGATGTGTCATCCCGTGTTTCTCTGACCAACATGATTCAGCACGACCGTAACAGAGCAACTAGACCGGACAGGAACTAGTCACAAATTATGAAGTCATGCTCACTACACCACTGACGCCATAACTCACACAGCTGACGTCATATCAATGACGTCACTCATCTGACGTTACCCGTCTGACGTCAGACATGTCTCCGCTCTGCCCGCAGCAGCCGGCAGTATAGCCATGCCGGTGTCGTGGCGCGGGCCGCGGCCGGCCGTCACCGTACAACAGCTGCGCGAGCTGCTGGTGGCACCGTCGCGCGGCGCCATGGCCTTTCCCAGCGAGCCGTACGACGAGGTCTATCCCGGGATCGTCATCAGTGACGCGTGAGTGACGTCACAGAGCGGCCGGTGGTGCCGCGTGGGTCTGCCAGGGGCAGCCAGTCGCTGTGGCGGAGCGAAGGAGTAAGGAGGTCCCGGAGACTTTGTAACGCTATGTTACTACACACGTCAATCTAAACGACCGGTATGCTCGCACAATGAACCCGACTCCATTGAACCCATAGGCGGCGGAACGGGGAGGGCACCGGGGCACCGTGCCCCTTTGATTTAGGCATTTTAACATTAGCCCTATGGGCGTTGCATGGAAAGAATGGGACCAAAAGTCGGCAGTGCCCCCCCCCCCCCCCCACTTAATTGAAGGTGTTCCGCCGCTACTGATTGAACCTCTAGTCTACAGTAACTTTTAAATATCCATACCAACTTCTTCTGAAGCATCGCCACATTCACTTGGCCGCTAAAAAGTGCACAGTACACAGTACACGCCCTCTCCCCATACCGGTCAACCAAAACTCCCCCGTCTCTCTATTTCTCCCCACAGCGCCACCGCGTTCACCCTCACGCTGTTGCGCTCGCTGGGACTCCCCCCTCAGTCTCTATGTCTCCCCACAGCGCCACCGCGTTCACCCTCAGCCTGCTGCGCTCTCTGGAACTATCCAGTCTCTCTATCTCCCCCACAGCGCCACCGCGTTCACCCTCACCCTGCTGCGCTCTCTGGGGGTGACGCACGTGCTGAACGCCGCGCACGGCATCGACAACGCCACCTACTCGGGCTGCTACGTCAACATGCACCCCTGCTTCTACCGCTCGGCCGGCCTGGCGCTGATGCGCGTGCCGGCAGAGGACGCCGAGGAGTGTAACATCGGCGTCCACTTCGGCGACGCGGCCGAGTTCATCGATGACGCCCTCCGGCACGGAGGTATGGAGGGATCGGGGAGAAACACGAAGGTAGGGGATCGGGAGGGAGGGTCCGAGGGGTAGAGATGGGATTTGAATAGGGTACGGGATCGGCAACCAAAGTTAATATCTTCAGAGCCGTGCCATATATAGCGTACAAATTGACCATAAGAAAAAAGCTAATAGAAAGTACTAACAACTAAACATATTTGTATATTTGTAGCATAAGCCTCCCCCATATGATAATATGCAATACAAAGCTTGAAAAAGCATGTGCAATTGTGCACACCCTTTGCTTCAGTGCTAATAATTCAAAATGGTTTATACACTGATATCAGCAGACGGCAGTACTAGAGTCCGCTGACACTCGACTATCAAGTGTCTCAGACTGAATTCAAATATCAACTAGTGCCGTGGTGTTACCCCTATGCAAACAAATTTCTGCATTATGCAGAGCGCAGTTAGCGGATGCATGATAAATCTCTACAGATATTTGTCACAGTTACAGATGTTGCCACAGTTTCAGGCACTGTCGGAGGGAGTTACAGACACTTTAAATATGACCACCTGCATGCTGGTCATAGCCCGCTCCAAAATAGTTTCGTCACTTTGGCCACTTTTGGTCAGCTAAAGTGCGCTCAGCCTCAGTCTAATTAAAAGTGATGAGCAGTCGGTTTAAGCTAAGCTCAACCATTTATGCCGCGAAACGGGTGCAGTTTGGTAGTTCGGATAAGACCAATGGGAATGGGTATTGGTTACACACAAGTTACGAGTATATTTAGCGTCATCGCAAGCGGAACCGGGGTTCGCCTCCCAACGGTCAAGGATTTCAAATTGCATCATCTAACGGGCGTCGTCTGTAGCCGTCTTCTCGATCAGAGATGAGAGCTCCCTTTGCCCGAATCAATACACAATCGTGTTGCCAAAAACTGATGTTTAGTTAGTCACCGCACCCCATATTACTGGCTTGTTTAATTAAGCTACGAAGCCTTCAGGCTACGCATGGTACTCGTATATCTCAACTTAGTTTACCAATAGGTAATCCTTGCGAAACAGATTCCCAGGCATTTTATTTTTACTTTGAGGGGCTGCGCTGTCGTCTTGCTTTTTGTTGTAATTAATTATTGTTGCATATCCAGAAAAAAGTAATGAAAACACCGATGAAGATGACTTTAAAGATTGTGCAACTGAGTTTTATAAGAAATGCATTTCAAAATTACGACACATAAAAGCTATAACAACAATGCGTACTGCCACTTCGCCATTTAAATGCGTATAGACGTTCAGTTAAAAACTATTATACATTGATGGACCCTTTTGTCTGAGCTGTTTATTGAAGCAAACTGAGCGAGTAGCATGGGCGACTGATCACGAGTAGCCAGCATGATCCGCGTCCCATGAGGACCGCGCTGTCCAACGGCCAGCCGATTGAGCAGATGTTTAGGTACGAACATTGAACCGGTATGCTAATAGGGTACACTTTCCGTCACCTTACCTGTTGGAAGGTGATCACCACTACGGCAGCAATGCTGTTCCTGATTGATGTGTCAATTGAATGCCAGTGTCAAAAATTGATGCAGTTTACTAAACACTGGCTGCTTATATCGGGAACAAAGTTTCCACTGTGTCAGAAACGTGCCGAATCTGCACACGCGCAGACGCACACGAGTCACGAGGCTAGGTCACTCGGTGACGACGTGACGCTGTGCTCACGGCTCCGCCACGTCCGTGGCAGTCTGCCGTCTGACTACACTAGCAGCGCAATCTTGCAGCAGGCGTCCTGTTTGGCCAGAGACCAGAGACCGGTCGCATCACATATACATAAACTTACAGTTGATGTGCATATGTGACGACAGGGCGACCCTACAAGGGGCTCTGAGGGGTAAATGGTGGATAGGGGTAGTTGGTGCCCCTTTTATAGGGTTTTCGTGGATAGCGAATAACGTTCATAGCGACACCATTCAACGCTTTACAGTTGATGAGCTTGTACATATCTGTTATTAAGTACTGTTGTATATATTGTTATATATGTATAGGCTGTTGAGTGCTGAGCCTTTAAAAAATCAAAAAATTAATTTGTCATAGCTTCTTTTTCCGTGTCGATTTGACCGATATCATACCCGACAGCAGGAAACCACCAGCGTTCGCCCTTGTAAACATGTTCAGCAGCTTTACTGAGCAGCCAGGCTCTATGCCAGCCATTGTTTACATGGTCAGATGAGGCCCACTCATGAATGCGCCATGAGCATTTGCATTATATATAAGCTTGCATCTGCATGGAGATGCAAGTTCACTCTAAATAAAATAATCTACCCTTTCCGTATCTCAGAGCACCAAAGTAGCCGTTGGACAACGGTAGTCCGATCCATCATAAAACTTATTGTTGCCGTGACTTGTCGAGTGTTATGGTTTGTAACTTACTGAGAAAGAAACAGTCGGGGCAGGCGAATGCACATTGAACAGTCCGTACCGAAATATCGGGCCAACACTCGAGAAATGAATAATGGTGTAGAGAAATATAACTAAAGGAGAGGTGCGCATGACAAAGTGTATCCAGGGTATATTGGACTAGGAGTGTATCGGGAAAACTCACTTGATTAATTGCATATAGGGCAAAGGCTGCGGTTCTCAGCAATATCTCGAGTCAAAAGAACCAGTGTTTTAGGCGTAGGACTCCTCTGGTAATTGTAAGCAATGTTGAATGCTAGCCGATCATGTTGAAGTTCGAGCTCCGCAGTTCCTACTTCCTCTCTCTCTCTCTCTCTCTCTCTCTCTCTCTCTCTCTCTCTCTCTCTCTCTCTCTCTCTCTCTCTCTCTCTCTCTCTCTCTCTCTCTCTCTCTCTCTCCCTCTCTCTCTCTCTCTCTCTCTCTCTCTCTCTCTCCCGCTCTTTCTTTTTAGCTCACTCTCCACTCACTCACTAACTCGCTCGTAATCCACGCTGCAATAATCGATTCACGTCTCGCCCGCCTACAACGAGCTCGTAACGTGCTTACTTTCGCTGGTGATAGATGGCAGCATATGCGTGTGCCTGAAGGATGCTGCGCCGCCGTACACTGCCGTATTGCGGCACAGTATCCATTAGCCGTCAGTAGGACGTAGGAAACGGTGCGGCGCGGACCAAAAGACGGCACTTCTCTTGTGTCGTCCATACAATGAAAAAGCTGATTTCTCAAAGGTTATGTTCAACTTAAGGTTTCTTCAGTTAAATATGCACTGCATATCGATTTCATTTCTTCATCATGATGCAAACAGAACGAAGGAGATGGATTCGGGACCACAACAATTATATTGGATACAGAATAACCGAATTGGAATACGGCAGGGGTGAAGCCCCGAAATCACGTTTTCCGACAAGAAGGCCAGCCCGTGCCTATCGTATCACGATAGTGACAGGATTGCGCGTTTCTGCTGCAGGGAAGGTGCTGGTACATACACTGTGTTCAGGGGATGAGCCGCTCAACTGCTCTGGTAGTCGCCTGTGACATGGATTGGCACGTTTCTGCTGCAGGGAAGGTGCTGGTGCACTGTGTTCAAGGGATGAGCCGCTCAGCTGCTCTGGTGGTCGCCTATCTGATGATCAAACAGGGGATGGCCGTCACAAAGGCTCTCAGCACCGTCAGGTGAGTCACCAGATACCTAACATCAGTTTTGTTACGGCAAGATAATGCTATTGTCAGCAGATTTAATTTACCTGCCTCATCGATTGCGCACTTATAATTGTAGGGGAGATCCGTGTAAGACGCCCAGGGTCGGTAAGAGGCCCTATTGCTTTTTTTACCAAACCAATAATGTTATTTATTGTTTAATGTTCTTGTAAAGCAGAAGCCCTCTTGAAACAACAACTCACGAATCCTGAGGTATCAGGTGCGTTGCAGCGACTTTTGGTAAGCCTGTTTCTGTTTTTGCCGCTTTACTTGCTAGATATATGCATCTTTATCACCCTTATATATCTGAAAAAACAATGGCTATCAAATGCAATCTTATCTCATCGAAATTGTCACATGTTAGCTTCAGAATAGACCATGTTCTGGTGCGCTGCAAATGTGTCATAAACCATAAATATTGTGACGTCAAAACACTGCATTTTTGTAAGAGGCCCTCCCTTCGAGGATGATAAAACGCCCCCCGATAAAAAACGCCCCCGATGCTAAAACGCCTGCACCTGCGGCAGGCGTGGCATTCTTTTTTCAAGGAGTTTGTTTTTGTTTCTTTTTTTTCTGTTTCCTTTCTTAGAAGTAATAGGTACAATTTTCGTTGGTCATCAGCGTTTGGTTGTGCTAGTTTTCGCATTGTTCGAGCGCTTTGGAAGTGTTATTGGTTTCGATAACACCGTATTTGCTTAGCTTTTCGAAATAAAAGGCCTTGCAGCTGTGTTCGCAAAGCGTCTTTTACAAGTCGACTTGACTTGTAAAACACCCGAGGGGGGGGGGGGGGGCGTCTTACCATACCCATAGTGTAAGAGGCCCTTTTGCAACTTTTTCCAAAATGTTAAAGTTTACGGTTTGTGTACCCCCTAGATTCATTTTGAATGCAAATATGTATGGGAAAATGATGCATGCTCACAGCGCATGCACACGTTAGCTCTTAAATATTATCAGTTGTCTAAGAATAGCAACTGAGCTTAAGGGGGGGCCTCCTGCACCACTCTCCCCTACCTTTGCTTCCCACGTATTTAGCAAACAATCGTCCGTATTGAAAGTTTTCCTCTCGACAGATTGTCCTTTTTATTCGAATCCTTTTTTATATTTTATTTTATTCGAATGATTTGGGTCATTAGGGTCAAAGCTTAACACTCATTTGCCAAAATCTGAATCGTTCCTTGCGGCACGAGTTTTGTCCCAGTTATTTATCTCACCCGTCCATCTGACCTCTCCCCCTCACACGGCTCCCTTCCAGGGCGAAGCGGGCCATCTTTCCCAACTACGGTTTTCTGATGCAGCTGATTCGCCTGGACGAGCAGCTGGCGTCTGGGTCGTGCCCTCCGGTCAGCACTTCAGAGGTCAAAGGTCGCCGACCCGCCCCGCCGACCAACTCTGGAGCCCACCGCTCTAGTCGGTATCCATGACCTCCACGGGGATAGCGGTGACGGAAAATGTGACGGCATTCGTGACGGAACATGTGACAGAGTCGTGATGGAACATGTCGGAGTCGTGGCGGAAAATATGGCGGTGCCAGTTTCCGGTGAGGAAAGTGACGACCCCTGGGCGATGCGAATTTGTCACATCTCAATTTGTGACGCGAAATGTGACTAATGTCGGCGGGAATCACGACGCTCCCGTGTACATACCTGTGACGGCGGCTGATCCGTACTGTCAATCTTGTTCAGGTTCTCCGCCACTCGTCCGTCGAAATGTCTCGCCAAAGTATGTATAAGCACCCTTCTGAGTCTGATCCATGCAGCACCCCAAGCAGCAGCGAACTAGCGCAGTGACGCCAGCTATGACTAGCCGGAAACTCCAGTATCGCGCCTTGCAGCCATGTGTGGTCTCCCAGAGAAATCCCCGAGACCGAGATTCTCCAGTGTCGAACCCCCTGTCCCCCACATTCCCCACAAACACCCCACATACTGTACAGCTTATCGACACGCTGGTAGTGCAAACTGATGAACTCATAGGCGCCCCTCCGGCGCCTGGGGGGGGGGGGGTGTAGAGGGGGCGGACAGGAGGCGTGTTATCAAAATGCAAACTGGCCGCTGTTGGAATATGCATATATCGGGGCCTCGGGAACCCCTGAGCAGCCGGACAGTGCAGTATGCTAAGCTGGTGACTAGTGACTGGTGGTTGGTGCTGTTGATCAAGGTGCACCAACTGACGGTCGTGTCGTGCTGGGTCGCGGAGAGGGGGCTGTTCCCGGTGTTCTGTTTGGACTAGTCACTAAAGGACACGGGCGCCGGTAGGCTGGTTTGTCATTGCCGCCGGACGGGGTGAGGTGGCCGCTGCAGGTTTTCGGAGACATGTCCAGCAGAGGTTTGTTTATGAGATGGACGGTGGCGAGCGCAGGCAGACCCAAGTGTTGATGCAAAGTGCTGGGCTTCTATACATGGTACTTGGTAGTACGTGGGAGAGCGCGAGGGACGAGTGTCCAGACTGCGAGTGGGGTGGAAGCTGCGACTTTGAATATCAATGAAGAGGCCGTAGTGTTGGTTAAGTCATGAGTGCATTCCTGTGAGGAAGACGCGCGATTGCTTTCCATGAGGCCCTATGTAAAACATGCATGCGGAGGCCTGACCGTCGTGAATCAGCTTCCGCTTCGATAATGTGCAATACATTGTGCAACGAGTCCCCTGAACAGAGGCTCAGCGGAGAACAAACGCCGGTGTCTTGGTCAGAATGCATTTACAGTGGGTACGTACAAAGTTGCCACTCGCCAACGGCCCGACTAGAAATATAAAACCCACTCGCGCACTATAAAACCACTTACACTCGGAAATTTCAGTCATGCAGGTCGATTGTAATACAAAACTAAAATTTTCCATGTTTTGCCGAGTCTCCCAGTCAGGAGACGTAGCCATCCAGCGCTCACATTCGTACGCAGGCACGCAGGCGCCGATAAAACCTAGCCGTTTGTCACGGGCCGTCAGGGTGGGTTCAGGAAATGCCCGGAGTCGAGCGGGCCTGGTCATGCAGCCCGCGCGCTCCTCCCACTAAAACATTAGCACGCGTTCAAACACCGTCGGTCCCTTCGCACTGAGCAACGTGAAAAAACTCGGGACGGCGCTAGCTGGCCGCGCTGTACACAGATGTCGCTGGCGGCGCGGCGGCAGGTGTCGCCACTGAGCGGTATGGAGCGCCGCCGACACTCTCGGCCTTTGTACACCACGACACAAACACAGCATGTCTTTTCAACGCAGACACAGGGCGGCTGTGTCAGCACAGCGTCCCGGAGCCGCACCCGATCCACAGCCGGCGCTCACATCAGGAACTCCTCACAGCTCCACGGCTCGTGCTCAAAGCCGCAGCCGGCGGCCGCCTCTCGCCGTCTGCAGCCATAGCCACCTTCTGCGGGCAGTCTGTGGTGGCCGGCTCCGACCCTCAGAGCTGCACTGAGCCGCTCCGGCGTCCATCGAAACTCCACTGTTACGACGGTACCGGAACACAACGGTAACCGGTCCTCCGAATGTGACAGAATCTGCTGTCACGACAGTCACAAAGGTCCGATTCCGTCGCTTAAAACCAACCAGCACAGAGACACTGCTGGCTCAGCATTCTCACAACGTTATCAGTGAAACGTTACGCCTTCGTTTGATTTTAAAACTAAACTCGACGACCACTTCAGGTCATCCACGCTCTCAATTCATGTGTGGTACGTTAAAAATGACAAACACTCAGAGATCGACTGAAAAACAGCCTTATGAGCAGGCTCAGCTGCTCAATTAAAACGGTCACAGCGTGGTGAGCCCACGCCATGCCGAGTTCGTCCGTTCAGGGGTCCTCCGAACCGCTCTGTCCTGCCCACTGTCCCAACTCGCACACAATGTGTGGCACGGTCACTTCATGCCGTCCCAGATCGGACCACCGCACTTCACCACACACTGCGTACCGGCCAATCGGTCACTCCGACCACCGGTCACTGACGACCGGTCAGCGCCGGAGCCCCTCCGAGACAGAGAACCACGACATTCACGTCACGTTCCCGTATCGTCGTGGGATTTTCTGTGGCAGTTCCGGGCCGTTTCTATCCTTCAATCGCAAGGAACGTATGTTGCAGTCCCGACAGAGGCAGAGAGCACCAGCGATCCCGATGGGGCTCACCGGTCGCTGGCGATTCAGACACGGATGATGACGTCACTCAGCTGGACATGACGTCACTCGCCGGTTAGTTGCGCGGCGTCAGACCCGGGCGGTGACGTCACTCAGACCCGGGCGGTGGCGTCATTCAGACCCGGGCGGTGACGTCACTCAGAGGAGGCGCCCGGGTCGGAGCCGGCCTCTGGTGATCCTTCCATCGGGGTCGGCTGCTCGGAGGCCACTGAAATGGGGGACAGGGGATGCCGGTCAGTGGGCGAACATACGGGGACGGTCACATAACGCTCACTCACGATTCCACAGCACGCGTCTGTTATAACAATTTCGAGCTCGATTCTACCAATACGCCGCTTCTGTTGATGCCATTGTAAGTAGTGATCTCTTAGTAGCCAGTGATAATTGAAAAGTATCACATCGAATAATACACAGTTGAAGATACCATACACTTGAAGAAGACCTTAAAGATGCTTTATTCAAACGGTCAAACGACGCATCCTTCGAAGCAATAACAAACTAAAAACAATCCCAGTTTCTTAACGCGAAACTCATCTTGCGACATAATTGCCCTCACAACAACCATTATCAGCCAAGAGCTCATACACCACCCCTGCGCCGTTCGACCTCCTCAGCCTCGCTCAGCGCCCGCTCCGCCGCTCACCGATATCGTCGGCGTCTCCGCGGATGATGTGCGGCAGCAGCTCCTCAATGCGCGCCTGGTTGGCCGACACGGGCCCCGTCAGCGGGATCTCCGGGAAGAACAGGTGGTCGACGGCCAGCGGGCTCATGCCGCGCAGCGCCGGCAGCCGCAGCAGCAGCTGGTGCAGACGCGCCGGCGTGCCGCACTGCTCGCGCAGCCCGGCCGTGGCGGCGGCGGTGAGCCGGCGCAGGTGGGGGCGCGCCGCCGGCTCCTGGCCGTCCGGCTGGAATAGCACGATGGCGCGCAGGTGCGCCAGCTCGGCGGCGGAGGGAGAGAGCCGCCGCAGGGCGGAGACAAACTCCTGGATCATGTACAGGTGCTGCGTAACCTGCCGGACGGACACGGGAGAGTTAGATGAGCACACAGACGAGATTACATAAGGGAGCATACGATGTCAGGTTCAAGGTATGCACAGGCGCACTACCGGGGCACTCGCCAGTCGCCATTTCACCAATAATGTCAAACCCCGACGGAGCGAAGCACCTGCGCGTTACAATAGCTATGACAATTAGCGCCAATAATGGCCGCGAACAATAGCATAAGTATGAATGACAGCTTTACAACCTACTGTATTGTTTTATTGTGTTTTACACACAAGAACAAAGCGTAGGTAAATAAAAAGACTGGAAAAAAGATAGTGCAGGTAGTAGGTACGCTTCAAATGTCAAAACCTCCCATTCAATAATATATGGCAAGACATGTTCTAAGAAGTTACCAAGTTCCAGCCAGCCCATCTATTAGCTTTCCCCGCCACTCACCATTCTCAGTCTGCCGACCTGAGTGCGCCTCTCGTGTACCGTGCTGGACAGGTGGGACGCCACCGCAGACAGCAGCCGCGCCAGGCCCAACGTCTCGCGGCACTCGAACAGACCGAGCACAAACAGCTCGGTCCAGCGGGCGCGCGCCAGGCTCTCCTGGACATCCCCGGCCAGAGCGGCGAACGCCGGCACGCCGCGCGCCCAGCCCAGCACGGAGATCAGCACCCGGGAGCCGATCTCCGTGATATAGGCCGAGTCGAGGCGCGCCTGGGCTGGCGGCGGCGCCACGTTGAACGTCAGGCTGGCCTCGGGCAGCAGCGGGCCGTCCGGCAGCGGCTCCTCCGGCTCCGGCTTGGCCGGCAGCTCGTCGGCGGCCATGCTGGCCGTCAGCCGGTCCACGGCGCGCGTGACGGCGTCCTGAGCGGCCGGCTCACCGCCCAGCGCCAGCGGGTCGCCGTCGCCCGACGGAGAGACGGAGCCGTTACCTGGGAGGAGAGACGACCGGCGTTAGATAGGGGTGCGGGCTACTGGAAGAGGCCGACAGATACGGCGAGGCAAAGGACAGCAATGTGTAAAACAAGGAAAGGTAAATGTGGAAGTGAAAGAGAGGAGACTGGGACACAGTGAAAAGACATATCAATAGGGAACGGAGAAAAAAACGACATGAGAAAGAACAATAAATCAAATAAACAAGTAGCATCCTCCGAAGTGACTAGAATTACGCCGCATCAAGTTCCCACGACAGCTAGGCAGGACGTGAAAATTATCTGGGAAAGATTAAATTCTGGTTGGTGGGTTGTCTGAGCTAGTATGACGAACAATTATGGCCAACAAACCCATGATCAGCCCCGCCCAGCGACTGTAGAACTTCTGTTCATATCAGTCCTTAGCCCATCCTGACAAAGGTGCGGTGGTTCCCTTCATAAACAAACTACGCACCCAATACGTAGGAGTGCTCGACTCGAAGACTATTTACTCGGCAATGAAATAAATTCAGCAGACAAATGTTTAGTTATATCACGAGAATCCAAAAATACAGCATAGGCATTCGAATTTAGAAGACAGTGACTGACTGATGCGTTGCTTCATTTATGAAACAGCCCACGTTTCGTCCCCGCCTCGGGCGCGGTCAAGGTCAAAAGGTCAGAGCCGGCCGGCGGGGCGGCGGCCACCGAGCCGGGTCACGTGATCGATAAGCGCATGGCAAAAAAACAGCGACGAGCTGAACGCACGTGCGAGGTTGAAATATAAATAACGACATGTTATGTTGCTGAGCAAGATGGAACAACGTACAAACGGTCTACGAAACGTACATAAATAACTTATAATTTCCTCGTTGATTCGTTGTCTCTATCAACTACGCAGCGTGATGGTCGCTAAAGTCTCGTCAAACACGCGACTTGAGCTTCCTCCCATCGACTTATCCCTCCCTATGTCTCTGTGACTTCCTATGACTCCTGGTATCCCCCCGCCCCTGTGACTCCTCCTATCTCCCCGACTCCGACTCCGCGACTCACCGGACTCGGTGAAGAAGCCAGTGGTGGTTTTGCCGTAACCCCGCTGCACTACGCTCGACTCCATGATGGAGTTGATGCGGTCCTGGAGGGTGAAGCGCGGGTTGGACATGTCGGGTGAGGTGCGACGCGCGCTCCCTGCTGGAGGACAAATGGACCGGCGTCAGACGCACCAGGGCTAACGGATGAGGGGGGTGAGCTCAGAGCTGTCTTCCATTCTGATGTCGGTAAGGATCTTAGCCCCATATTGTCTCTACATTATATTTACCCAGTAGGTGCATGATGTTGCGAGGCTGTCGTATTCAACACTTCAGCAATAAAACAATATTCATCAATTTCTAACGGGTGCTTTCAGAGAAAAAACTTTCGACTTAAGAACTTTACCAGCAGATAAATAGCATCTAGCCATCATAGAGAGGGACATTTTAGCTTCTTTGAAAAATTGTATAACGCTGTTCCCATGAACAAGATTTTAAGAGCTGCTGAATAATGAATGACTTTTAGCAGCTAACAAAAGCTGTATATCGGATGACTCTATGGCCTATCACACTCATATTTCCCCCGGCGCGCCTCGGGCAGCAGTGAAACCAACAAAAGCCGGTCTTAGCATGAACCTTCCACTAAATATAGACAGCCTATGCAACTTAATTCCCTAATCCGACACTGAAAGTGACAACGCCTTTCACTTCGGCCGCAATGAGGATTACACTGGTGTGCAACCACAATCCGATTAGCACCCCTCCCTCTCCCCCCACCGGCCGGTAGGTGGCAGGTCGGTCACCCTCCATCCCTCACAGATGTCGCCACTGACCTGTCGTGTCTCTGGGCGTGCCGATGAGCGCCGGAGAGGCGGCCTGCTGATCGCCAGCCGCGGCTGCCGGCGCCGGGTCCGCGGCGCGGCTGTAGCCCGAGCTGTTCCTCGACTCCTTACAGTCGCTGCGCATCCCCATACTGAGGCACTTCTGCAGTCGGCAGTACTGGCAGCGGTTGCGGTGGTACTTGGTCACCTCGCAGTCCTTTGTGCCGCGGCACTGGTAGCCCAGCTGTTTGCGGATGGAGCGCTTGAAGAAGCCTTTGCAGCCCTCGCAGCTCACCACTCCGTAGTGCCGGCCCGAGGCGCGGTCGCCGCACACCACGCACGCGTCGATGGCGCTGGGCGAGAGGTCTCGGCAGAGCCGGTCAGTGAGCAGGTCGCCGATGTTGCCGCCGGCGTCGAGCTCCTTCAGCCGGCTGGCCCAGTCGCCGCTGAACGGCAGGCTGCCGCTGTAAGAGGGAGGGGAGGCAGGTCAATGTACTGCAGGCCGTCCTGAAGGCGGTCAACGTTACATAAAACGTGCATATTGTCCGCGTACGCGTACATAACGAGTACGCGTACGCGTACGTAACGAGTACGCGTACGCAAGAATATGATATAAGCAACACTGAACATATACGCCACTAGAAAAATCGAGACGTAGGCGCAGAGTGGGTGACAACTGCGCTTAATACAATAAGCCAAGATGCACTCCTGGCTCTGTGTCCATGGTGCAGCGGCAGCACAGCGCTACACCGCAGATATCTACAATCTCCCGTGCATGGGTCTGTCAGGGGATGCGTGCCAAGTGGCCCACCTTCCCCAACCACTGGCCCACCTACCGGTTAATCTATCTACCCATCTACAGGAACCCTGCAACCACCCACACCCCCTCCACCCACCCACCCACCCGCTCCCATCCCTCCCTCCTGGCCCGCCCGCCGGTCCGTCGGGCGCAGCCGACTGGTTTGGGCCGCTTTCAGTTTCAGCGGCGACTCGGGCGGCGGGCCGGGCGGCGTGACCACCCGGCTGACCCAGCGACCTTGATATACCGGCCCGGTGGGCGGCCGACGGATAGACAAAGGCGGCTCACGGCGCCGTGCGGACAGGCCGCGGTGGTGACACATTCCTGAACATTCAGAGACGTCGGCACGGGAGACAGTGGGACGAGGAGGTAGGGGTAGCCGAGCGACCATCGAGGAATCGCACAGACAGGCAGTCTACACAGCCTCCGAGTCAGTATCGCCTGGCCGGTACAGAAGTCAGGTGCCGTTCATTGGGTGCGGTCCAGGCCGTCCATCGCGAGAAAGAAGGCGAGACGGTACAGCAGACACCTAGCTTTCCAATGTTGATACAGCTGTGCGTGCTCCGTGTACCGTTGTTGAGCTAGTCCGTATACCATTCTCCACAGCCGTGTACCGTCGGGTACCAGCCAATGAGTACCGTTGTTCCTCCGTCGTGTCGGGGCCGTAGACCTCCGCCCACTGCACCAGTCGGCAGTCAAGGCCAACTATATGACGGCCGGCTGGAGCGGTACCCAGGCGAAACCCCACGGACAGACATCGCCCGCAGACTGACCACGATGGACAGACGAGTGTCGAGTACGACATACACTCACCAGACCATCTACAAAGCTTCAATACCACCAACAGGGTCCCCAGGTAGCCAACAATGCTCTTAATTTCATTACCGGCTCGGGTTCCCAAGTCTCCCTGAAGTTCTTGGGTCATCCACAAAGTCACCCAAGTCCTTTACAGAGGGCACATGGTCCACTGATGAATGTTAATGTCCGCCAGAGTCCTCAGACATCTACGGACTTTGCCTTGTGAAACGGTGCCAAAGAGTATGCACTATGCACGAGCGAAGCGCATTCCATGTTCAAGCGTCACATGCCGCTTATGGTATGAAAACAATAGTCAAAAGCAGCTAACTATGGCTTCCGTTGCCTCAAGCAGGCTTCTACGAAAACCAAAAGCGCTTTAAGCCGCAGTATTCCTAGCAGCCATTGCTACTGACACCGGCCCGTGCCCCACGCCGGGCCTCATGTCGAGCCACCAGGCCAGGGCGTGGGGGTCGACCGATGCACGAACGGTGTAGCTCGGCATGCCAGACCGATCGGCGGGGCCAGGAGCGAGATAGGACGCCGGCCGCGGCTCTGCCAGCTGGTCCTGTGGTCTGGCCACTGCACGATGTTGCCCGTAGACCATGTGTGCAGGCTAGGCAGCCTCTGTAGACCGTATGGTCCCATCTGATTTGTCGGGTGCGCCTAGCGCCTAGCCCAGTGGCTGCCTCGCACACACCGAAACCATCCGATCTCATCTTCAAGCACTGCTGCTCTCTGCACCACCCGTCGGAGCATTCCAAGGCCGCCCGTCAATCTAGTCATCGCGTGGAACGGTGTAAGACAACTGACCGGCCGGCCTAATCAGACAACGAACGAGATGAAAACGGGTGGAAGACTCGAGCCGTCCCCGCCGAGCTGTGCAGTGTGCGCAGCTGCGCCACAGTTCAGCCAGGCTCGGGACAGACGTCAGTTTTTCAGGCTCTCCCCGGCCCGTCTCACTGGCTCCTCGGAGAGGCCGTGTCCGCGGCGGACAGACCGTGTTCGTGTCCGCTCGAGCGGCCAACCCGTGTCCGCTGAGCTCACGGACACGCGGGCGGCTCGACCGGTCGTCAAGGTCAGAGCGGTGCAGCCGGTCGGCCCGGGCGACCCCCGACCTTCGTCGAGCCGGTCGGGCGCGCGGGTGACCTTTGACCGCAGCCTGTGCCGCTCGGCTGCCGGCTGACCTCCGTCCGGGGGCGCCGCGGCCGACCGGGCCGGCCGGCAGCAGCTGCAGCCGCCGAGCTGGCCAGCCGTGACCCGGCAGACCCGACCGCAGACCCCGGCGACCGATAACCAGCCGGCCAGCACACCGGCCGGGGCTGACACTCGCATACCAGAGATCAGTCCAAACAGAGACTTATCGGAGGCAGCTAAAGGGTAAACTACTCTTATCGCGATAACTCGGGTTGTTGTTCAGTGAAGAAAACAATTCTAGCAAACAGAATAATACATACTTTCCAGTACCTACGTAGCTTCTTCGGTTATTTAAACCATTAGTCTTCCTAAACTGGTGGATGGTTCGAATGCTAACTGGCTACAAACCGGATTACGAAGTATTCCCACAGCTGTTTCCATTTTATTGCCACCCTGCACATGCAGGTACGATGGCAATTTGCATTGCAATGCGCCGGAATGCCGCTTCAAACGCCCAACGAGACACTTGTTGAGATAGGCCACCGACAACCCAAACCGTTCGTGTCTTACACTCCGCAGCCCCGATTCCGTCTATCTGTGAGCCACGTGCTGCCATTCGCCGCCTAATAGTGTACTCAGTAACCAGAGGACCAACAGCCCATAACTCATCCTCCCCTCCCCGCCCCGCCCTCCACCAGCCGAGCTAACCATTACGGCGGTCTCTCCATCACGGCTCGTAATGAATGTTTACTTACGAGCGGACAGATAAACGGGGGAACCACCACCTACACAGGCCGGGCCAACACCTTCTCCGGAGAGGCAGAGGCACCACAGCCATCCGACGTAACATTTCCGCTACGATACTGCCAAGGGATGCGCTGAGCGAATACCTACCTCGGTATGCAACGGTTTACTGAGTGTGTGTGGTGAGTTAGCGGCGGGGAAGTTAGTGACGAATCATTGAGAGTGCGCTCGCCACTGTGGTGACAGTACTTACCCGAATGGTGACGAGTTGGTGCCCATGAGTAGGGTGCTGCTGAGCAGGGAGCCCCCAGTGAAGCTGTCCCCGCCGCCGGAGGCAGGCACCGCGCTCATGGCGCCGTCACCTGTAACGAACGGAGAGGTGAGGTCAGACTCACGACGGCACACCACAGACGAATAGGATGCTCTGAGACAATAATACATATAGAGCGTTAGACACAGTGCGTCACAGAGACCACACACCACGAAAGACGCCCACAGGACGAGAGAGAATGAAATCGCTAACGAAGAGAATGGCAGCTGGAAAACGCGACCCCACTTCCACTCCCCAATCCGTCAGCACAGCCGCCGTCTAGACGTCCGTCGCCCCGGGTTCCTCCCCGCCGCCCCAGGGCTCTCCCCACCGCTTCTAGTCTCTCCCCACCGCCCCGGGCCCCTGCCGTCGGCTCGCCGTGACCTGAAGTTCCGGCACCGGGGGACCGCGACTGGCGACTTCCGGGACACGGCTCCGGCGCGGCGGCGGTTTCCGGCGGTCGCCCGTCCCGGGACCATGCCCGGGGGCAGGGCGCGCGCGGCCGGTCGGCCGGCCGGCCGGCTGGCCTCGCGCGCCGCGGCCCCGCCCCAGCCCGGCGGCCGGCCGGTGCGGCTTCCAGCCCTCTGGGCCACTCTCACGTCTGTGAGCGTCACACACACGGAAGGAGAGGCGGCCGCGCCACCTTCCGGGCCCGCCGGCCGAGGTCAGGTTGGCAGGTAGGTCGGTCGGTCGGGCCTCTCCGGACCGGCAGATACCGGTGAGCGGTGGCTGAGGTCGCCAAGGGTCGGGGCCGCGACATGACACGGAGGTTAGGTCTCGGAACGGGAAAGCAGACACGGCGTCGGAGAGAATCCATAGCGCACGGTTCGCAAAGTCGAAGACCAATCTAGACCAAAAGCACCGGAAAATAATGTCCGAATTCATAACCCAAGGTCCAGAGGATATGAACCTCGTTCAGATACTATGGAAGACGCCTCGTTTTCATCAAAACCAGTCTGTTATCAACTTGCATATGGAATTTCACATGTTTCGCGAGAAGTCTTGCAGTGAAGGCCAGCAGGGCTCCACAAGCGGACATCTGAGACAAAAATAGAACAACAGTTCGGAATCTTCAGTACCCACAGAGATGTAAGCACCAAGATCGAGTGAACGTCATATGCCACATCCGTTAGTCGATAATTGGAAACCGTTAAGCAGCCCGGCGGTGGGAAGAGCCGTGCTGATTGACCTTTCAAACATTCTTTTTTCATGATGGCAGCGACGGTGTCTGTCCAATAATGGCAAAGTTCAACTCGGCTTGTCTCAGTCAACAGCAACTCGGCACGACAGCGCTGCCTGTTGACCTTTAATTTACAGCTCGAGAGGATAAAACGGTAAAAGTAGACTTTCGGTTGAGCGGCAATGGAAGCTTGTACTTCTGAACGGTGTTTTCAGGTAAATGCAAGGAGGAGCATGGAAAGGAGAAGCTGCGTCAAATGGCTAACAGCTTTGAGCACTGATGAGGTCCGTCTGAGGCTACCACTCACTACTCAGCCGACCCGAGGTCACCTCTGAGGCTCAGGCCGGGGTCACACCACCCCTCGGCAGGGGGTGGGGTGACGGAGAGTGGGCCATGAGTCACCCCGGTCCGACACGGTCCGTGTCCCACACCGAACGGACCGGACCGGGCCATGACACGGCGGCTGGCCACCGAGCCGGCCCCGTCTCTACGGGGTCGGGCCGCCCAGGGTCACGATAGTCACACGGCACGGGCGCTGCACAGTGTGCACAGACCTGCACAGTGATCACTGCACAGCGCAAAACACACAGTCGGCACTGCCGGAGGTCAGGCCAGTGAGGCTGGTGTCCGACGGAGGTCGGGAGGCCGGTGAATGGCGGAAGTCGAGCGGCTACTGCCCGGTTCCTGAGGTGTTCGAAGTCGCCCCCCAAGGTACACACAGAGTCACTGAACGGTGGCAGCTGAAGGCGACTGGCGATGAGGACGAGAGCATAACAGGCAGTCTGGATCTGCCGAGCCATCTCAATCTCATGTAGTGAAGAGTGAGACCCAGGTCGCCTGGCAGTATTCCGCGCTCCGCAGTGAACGCCCGGGCCAGTCTCCCCAGCGCTCGCCGCTCGGTCCGGGCGGCACGGACCCTGCCGCCGTGGGCCGTCCCGCCTGCCACCGTCCCACACCTGAGCGACGCCGCTCACCCCTCAGCGCTCAGTGCACACAGCTCAGTGGTCCGTCGGACCAAAACCGGCCGCTCGCATGTCGGCACCGCCGACCGACCGGTCACGAGAGATCGGCGTCCGACGCCGAAACAAAGACGGGGCAGGGGCGGCGGCGGCCGTACCGGGGCACACGATAACGCCGCACCAGCAGCGGGGTTCAGCACAGGGTTAGCCACGATACCACCACCGGAGACATAAGCGTGGCGGCAGCATCACTGAAACATTAAACACACGCCTGCCCTGGGTAGTCCAATTAACGCCACGGTTAGTAATACATGCTGATGACAAATAGCCACATCATCACCCACTTATCGCCCAGAAGCGCCGAGTCATCGACATAAAATTACAGTGGCAGCTGTATTGTAGTGGAGATTAAAGCATAAACAATGACCGAATGTCTAGGACGAACTAGTTTCGGTGCAAAGTTTCGTTTGAAATGCTGATTACGCTGGCCGCTAACCATGTATGCTCACAATGTTTGCTGTTTGTTCCATATTTGTAAATAGGGTAAATCGAGCTTCCAACCACTATGGATATATTTTGCCTGTAGCGCCGGCTTCTGCTACCGGTCATGAACGATGAAGACCTGCCAGCGACATAATGGAGCAATGGAGAGGCCACGACACCCATCAGCAGGAGAAACCTTGGGGACCCAGAACCACGGTAGTCCCCCGCAGCTCGAATGGAAACCAGAGAGCCGACCATGAACCAGCGCAGAAGATGTTCTCTCGCTCCATTCAGACAGCGCCAGCGGGGTTTGTGCGGTCAGACTGAGTTCAATCAGAGCTTTGAATGGAACGGACGTTCAGAGCCAGATGAGGTATCAAATGTCCATGGAAACAAGAAAACCCACACAATATGCCTGAAAACCTCGGACAGGATGAAGAGAGCGGGTTTCAGGGTCATTGGGTATTGGAGAACATAATTGCCAGCTCAGTTCAGATTCAATCCCGATAGTGACGGTAATAAAGAGTCTGATCTGTCAGTTTGACATCATCAGGCTGAAACTGAGACACAGTACCAGCGTCGTGCAATACATTAGCCACCGAGCTGCCACCCTTTCCACCGTCCCCGTCGGTGGCGGACGGTGGTGTCACCGCCGGGGGCCGGCGCACCGACAGGCCGGGGCGCTCCAGGGTCGGTGACGCTGGCCGGTCGGAACGAAACGGAACGAGTCGGGCCGGGGCGCCGCCATGGAGGGCTGTGGCGACCTCGCCGACCGGACGGCCGCCGGCTTACCGGTCACGGATCGCGGCCGGCGCGGCGCACCCCGGCTGGTGAGGGGACCGGCGCGGGGCGCAGCGGCGGCGGGGCTGCCGGGGCTGCCGTTGGAACGTCATCAGGGGCCCGTAAGGACAGAGGTAGGTGAGGGTCGATGTCGGTGAGGAAGGCAGTCGGTGACGACTACAGCCGGTGGTGACGGCGGCCGGTGAGGACACAAGTCTCTGAGGACGGCATCCGGCGAGGACGGCGGTCGTTGAGCACGGCAGCCGGTGGTAATAGCGGAAGGTGAGGACAGAGGCCAGTGAGGACGGCAGCCGGCGCCCGCGGGTCTCTCCCCGGAGCCGCGGCACACCACCTGCGGTCGGACGGCCGCCGTGGGCGCCGGCAGCCGGCCGACCCTGAGCCCAGCTCAAGGCCAGGTGCCGCCAGGTCAGCCCTCGGCGGCGGCGCGGCACCGGAGGTCAGTCGGAGGTCAGCGCAGCCGAGCGTGCCCGGCGCCGTCATTAGCGGCGTCGCAGGTCGCCGGAGCCGGGCCCGCGGCCAGGGGGCAGCACCGCGCCGCCAGCCCGCGGCGTACCGCGCTGACAGGTCCGACCCTGACCGCACGACCGGACCGGCCCGCTCCCTGCAGCGGCGCCATTTTCCTGTGACAGCGCGCCGCGTGGGCCTCCCAGGCAGTCCCGCACCTCGGCAGACCTTTCCCCGGCCGGCCGATAGCGCTCCGGTTAGCCCCCGACCGACCCCGGCCGTTGGCGTCTCCCGGCTCGGCGCGTTATCGGTCACACCCTCGAGCACGTGGCGTGCGACCGACCGACCGACCGACCCGCATCCCCATGCGCCCATCCACAGACCGGTCAGCTGCCGCCACCCTTTGACCGACCCCTCCCACACCTCCCTGACCACGACCGGTGTGCCCCACGCACAGTCGCCCGCATAAATACAGCGCCGGGGGCGGCGCGGCGCGGCCGGCGCGGCGCGGACAAAGAGCGCTGGCGGCGATCGATGCAGCGCGGCCGGGCACTCCGGTCAGCCGGGTCAGCGCCGGACCGCGGTCGCCCAAGGTCAGGCTGGGGTCAGTCCGCCGCTCCGCCGCAGCGCCGGCGACCAAGGCCGGCCGGGTCGCCGGCAGCCGTCGGAGCCGGTGTGTCTCCCCTGACCTTGTGGCGGAGTCCGCGGCGTCTCACCGCCGCTGCCGGCCGCGTCAACAGACCACACCGGACGGAGGGACAGATGGACGGGAAGGAGGGTCGGCCGGAGGGCGGCAGGTCACCGCGGAGCGTCAACGGACGGCCCGCGGAGGGACAGGAGGGTCAGAGGGGAGCGGCTCGGTGCGGCGTCACGACCAGTCACGGCGAGCCGGCGCGGCGTCACGCCACACCTGTGACCGTCACGGGTCAGCGCGTCACACCCAGTGGGACGCGCCCGCTGCGTCACAGAGCGGTCGCCGTCGGTCAGAACGGTCACAGAGGTCACTCCCCGCCTCTGCAGCCCCTCCCTGCAGCAGGGTCGGGAGACGCACTATTTACCCAGCCTAAGGGAGATAGCGCGCGCGCCGGCCGGTCGGTATTCCGGCACGCCGCGCCGGTGCGGGCGCCCACGTGGCCGGTCGGGCGACCCTCCCGCGCCGGCCGGCCGGCGGGCACCCCTTCTGGA